AAAAAATATATATGCTTAAAAAAATATAATTTTTAATTAAATATTTTTATTTTAATTTTACAAAATATTTATTAAAATGAATTTTTTATTCCCAAAAATTTAAAATTTTTTAATTTAAAAAAATAATATATTTAATTTCATAAATTATAGTATATATTTTATGAAAATAGTATTTAAATATAAAAAATATATAAATGAAAATAATGTACTTAATATAACATGCATATTTAATTAAAATTAAATGCTTTTGCTTAAATGAAATAAACAATTCCTTCCATTTAAAGGAAAAGTTTCAAGAAAACAAATTTATTTGATTTAAAAAAATTTTCTCTCAGTGTAGATAAAGTATTTCCAACAAACGATGAACTATTTTGAGAATTGATTCGACAATTAGTTCTCGAAATCAAATTGTAGATCTATAGCATTGTGAGGTAAAAATATCTAATATCATTGATATAAAATATTTTTACAAGATATGTATATCTTGAGGATATATAATTTACAGATAGTTATTAATTAAAATTATTGTGTTATTGTCAAAAGAAATCATGATAATATTTTCATCATGAATATTATGTTATTTTGTATAAATATAGTTTGAAGAATTTATTGATAATATTTGCATCTAATAGCTTAAGAAGTTTTGAAATAAGGATACATTAAATATCTTCAGCAAAGAAGGATTAAAAAAATTAAATTATGCTTTTTTCCCAAATAAAATATCCAAAAATATCCCAGAAATGTATCTACAAATTATTAATTTAGAATTAATTCCCTGCTATAAAATTTATTCCTTAAAAAATTCTCAAAATTATTAATATTAATATTATAATTTTTCATATTATATATTATTAATTAATTATTATTATATATAAATTAATTAATTAAACTTAATTTTCAATATTATATATAATTAATTTAACTTTTCTATCCGATGTATAGCTTCCAATGGCAACATTACGTCGTTACTATTCATGCATGCGATCTCTTTTAATAGCTATTAAAACGCGCGAATCGAGAGCAGCATTTAATTTATTGTCCCAATTGCTATTTATCTCGAGAAACACAATGAAACAACGAGAATTACAATGATACATATTCGTGTTTTAACAGAATAAAAATGACCATTATTAAATTAAATATATTATTTTTTTAAATTAAAAAATTTAAAATTTTTGAGAATAAAGAATGCAATTTAATAAATATTTTGTAAAATTAAAATATAAAAATATTTAATTAAAAATTATATTTTTTTAAACATATGTAAATAAATACTTAACTTAAGCAAACAGACGTTTTGAATACAAGTATAAATACGTGATTAGTACCCACCGAATAAATAGCTTTCTTGAGTTAACTAAAATTTTTCTTATTTCAAGATAATTTTTTCCTTAGTGTAATAAAAGTGTGATTCATTCGAGAGTGTATTGGAAAATATTCTTCAAGAATCTCAAATATTTCGATAGTAATGTGACTTACCCAAGCGTCTCGATTAACGCATTGTATTTCCATGTATGAAATTTTCCTGTCATTTTTATCACGTCACTCGGAAAATTTCCCCAAATTTCTCGCGTGTTTTAATTAAAGCGAATTTTTTTCTCTCCTTCTACAATTGTTTCGAAGCAAAACAATAATTAAAACATAACAAAACTGTCATAATGCATCTCACATCTCACTTGTTACGAATTCAGTCATACGTTCATGTTGCATCGAACGACTCGATGCACGCGATAACACATTAAAAAATACACGAAGCACCTGTTAATACTTCTACATTACTTTTGCAAGCGGATTGATCTACAAGACTACAATTTCGATATTCGATCGGTAATCCGGTTACAAAATGACACTACAAGAGTGTCCTCGTATCTATGTTATTAAACAGTATCATGTTCTCGTGCTTGTTTCTTTAGCCTATGTAAATATTAGATAATAAAAGAATTCGATTACGGTTAAAAGATCAAACAAATGTCAACAAATTAACGTTGCATTTTTATTCATAAAATTATGAGATTTCTCTTTAATAAATTTAATAAATTTATATTTAATTACATTTTAATTATAAATATTTTATATTTAATTATATTTTAATTATAAATATTTTATATTTAATTATATTTTAATTATAAATATTTTATATTTAATTATATTTTTATTTATATTTAATAAATTTATATTTATATTAATAAATTTTCTTACGCGTCGCAAAAATTCAGAGTTATCTTGTTTTAAAAATTGCGTTTGTTTTAATCCTTTCCCAAAAGATGTGTTTCATACGAAGGCAGTTTTACAGGTTTTTGGAGGTGCTGATTCCAAATTTACCATCAAAAATCATGTTACTTTGATTACACATATAAATTATTATAATATTTATCATAATAAAGTTGTAATCACATTTATATAAAATTTTAAGTTTATAATTAGCGTATAAATTTTATGATTTTTTATGAATTAATATTATATGAAAAATAATATATATTAATATATATTATTATACATGAAAAATTATATATATTATTATATTATATTATATTATATATTATTATATATGAAAAATAATATATATTAATATATATTATTTTTCAATTAATAATATGATTTTTCAATTATATTATATTTTTTTAAATTATATTAATATATTAATATATTAATATTCAATTAATATATAATAAATATATTAATTTTCATTCTCTAAGTTTAATTTTTTCCAAAGTTTAGATAATTATTATATTGTACTGTAAACATTACATTTCAAAGTGCACGATTTTTTTACATATAGCTTAAACCTTCTTTTTTTAAGGGGGGAACCTCATGTAAAATGAAATTTTTTAGCCATTTTATTTTTTTGCTTAAATTGATAGGAAATTTCTTCAAAAATACGAGAAAAAAAGTTAGAAAGTGATCCGAGAGCTCCTTGTACTTTATTTTCAAAAGAAAGTAAACAGTCGAATTGGGCGGAGCACTCAAATAGTCGAGCGGTCGTCGGACAATCGGCCTTTCGGTTCCTTTGTGGATATTTCTGTGTGCAAAACATGTAGTTCGAAGTCAGTCTGAAGAAGAGGAAGGTCTACTCTATGGCCCTGGAATCGCAGATTAGCAAAAAACTGCGGTAAGTTAGAACGAATTACGAATTTTTTCACGATTTTTCTATTACTCAAACTTTAAACGCGTTTTTCTCGAAACGCAAAATTTCGCACGCCGTGCAACGTAGCTCAAAAACTAATCATTCGATCTTTATGAAATTTGGTATAGAAATTCTATAGATATTTGGCCTCAGCATGACGAGCTCCGATTTTTAATTTTTTTATTTAAAACTTTGTTATTAACAATTGTTTATAAAAGAAAATCCTTTTTTTTTTCAAAACTTCGCCATTTTTGCAAATTTGCAAATTTTAATAAAAGGGGACCGTCATGCTGAGCGTTTTTGCATAAACTAAAGAACCCATTTTGTATTTTTTGTTTCAGATCATTTTTGTGACCTGCATGCTGCACGGCGCATTTTCAAGACGCTGTTTTCAAGCCGCCATTGCACCGTTTTATTGTTAACGATTAATCTTAAAAAAATATTTTCTTTAAATATTATAACGTAAATAAATTGTGCCTTAAATTGCAAATTAATCTACGCATTACATTTTTCAAAAAAAATTCCTGAAAAACAGGCTATTTACATGAGGTTCCCCCCTTAAAACAAGCCAAGGTAGAGGTTTGAGTTAAGAAATTTTTTTTCACGCACGGAAAGATTAGAGCTCCTCGAAATATCGAGCACTTCGAGTCGACGAAAAACTACTGACACATCGAGCACGTAATCGAGTAAGCAATTATTTTTTAACTGATAATAAGAGCATGCGTAAGTATTTAAGATAAACTTTAGACTTGCTTAAAGTTTATTTAAAATACTTACTATTTTAAATACTTTGGAATAATTTATCAAACACGAAAATATATGCAACAGCCAATGTTGCAACGCGACTTCTTTGTTCTAAAACGATATTAGAATATAATATAATATTAGAATATATACCTTCAAAATATTAGAATAGAATAGAATTATGCGAAGCTCTCGATGAAGTTGAACGCGCAATCAACTGACTCGTTTTTTGTATGCAAATATAAAAAAAACACATAATTGTTACAAAGAAAAAATATGTAATTGTTAATTGCAAATTACATATTTTTTCTTAAAAATAACCATGTGTTTTCTTTATACCAATCGATTTCTCACATTATTTTGTGCATAAAAGTATTAAGATAAAATAATCGAAAAATAAATATTTTACTAGATATTTTATGATTTATGTAGAATTAAGAAATTATTCAAGCCTTATAACTCCAAAAATACTCAACGAAAAAATATTTTATTATAGTGTTTTGGAAAGCTTTTGAGGTCAGTTACAAGAATATGTAATAAAAAATAGGGAGTGCCATTAAAAAAAATTGAGGTGACCTTCATGTGACCTTCAAATGATTATCCAAGATCAAATCAATGGCACCATCTTATAGCCCCTTCGAAACCATGCAACACATGTCTGAACCAATTTTTCGATATTTCGATTAGTTTACGAGAAAATTGACCGTATTGTTTAAAATGGGCCACCCTGTATATATAATATGAATGAAACACAGCTGACAACGCTTTATAAAGTGAGAGCGAATAGCAGATAAGATAAAATTAAGCGGCAACATTCCTTGGAGATCTCCAAACTACAAGGATGTATCTTTTATGCGATAATATTTATAATATTCATTATTTCTTATACAAGTATTAAAAATAAAAATCAATGCCAGTCTCTACGCATGACTTACTAACAACGCTCAAGGTTTATCTCAAGGTTTATTCTAAAGCTTTCATTCTAAATTATGTAAAATCAATTGGAAAATCTTTTCTCTCTGGGAGATATATATTTTTGTCTCTTCAAATCGTTCTCTCTTCATTTGAAACCGAGACAAATATATAAATGCATACAAAATATTGTATTCATTGGAAAATATATTTTACTCACTTTTTCCTCATAGATTGGCTTTTAGCTTTATCATCCCTAGCTTTATCGTTTCTCCCATCTGCAACACATAAAAATATACACTATTATCAAGCTCTCTAAACATCGAATCTCATCGATCGTACTCATTCTTATCGCAGTGCAAAAACCTTTCAAAATTCTTTCCGTATAATTTACAGAAATTAAGGATGTTTTGTATGTATAATTCCAGCAAAAAGTAGCTGAAAATCATATTGAATATCCACTTTTTGGTGTATTTTTAGTGAAATGAGAAATTATGTGAAATATTACAATTTGATCAGAGATTGTTTAATATTTATTGCGTTTTTACTGAAATATTCCAAATTTTGTTAATCTAAATGATTAACTTTTGGCAGAGAATTTCGCCTTGTGACAGATACATGGCTAATTTCATTAAATTATATTTAATATCTTTTTAACCAGTTATTACTTGTATAATATTATTTGACCAAATATTTCCTCTGTATCTAAACTCTTGCAAATTTTAAACAAATTTTGAATATTATTTCCATCTGTTTTTGTCATTTAAATCGACGTGGTTATACGTTTCCCATAAGAACACATGTTAATTCGGTGCAAATTAAAATCCTTATAACTTGTAAACGCTTTAGTGAATCAATTTAAAAATTCTACTGAAGATTCTAAACATAAGTAAGAACATTCTGTACAATTTTCATTAAATTCTCAATATTCTGAAAATAGCTACAAAACATCCCTAAGATCATTTATCTCACACTCACCTCTATCTATGTGTTTTACAGTCGCCTGACATTCCTCTATCTTCGTCATGTTCATTCTCCTCTATAATCAGACAAAATTTAAAAATATTAAAGCAAATCGTGTCAACCGATTCTCTTTGTTCTCAACATTGAGACATAGAAGCATAGAATCCTGCTTAATCGCGTCCGATGGCATCATCAAACGGAACAAACACAAAGAGACTGTCTTTCACATCTACTTCCGAGAGTGCATTCAACAAACACACTCACGCAAGTCACCCATACACATACCGTTCAGCATACGCGTCGTCCTCCTGCGACTCTTCATATGGGGTTATGAACTTGATATAACCTCAGTGGTCGCCTATGTCTGTGAAAAATTCGAGAATTCCCAGATGATTTTCGGAGCCGAACGGTCACAACACCGCGCATCGCTCTCTTGCGATGCCTTGACGAAGAGGGGGCGGGGGGCGAGGGGGTAACGAATTATCGCGTCGGAGATTGATCTGCGGAGAGCGCGCGTTGTCGGACGCACCACGATTCCGAAATCACGCGGCACGACACGAACACGGAACAAGGAAAAGGCGAGACGCGTCGCGACGCGTGCAAAACGAACTGTCAATTCGCCGCGCGAGTCACATGACGCGTCGTGACAAGCGCACAGCTGACTGACGGGCCGGATTTTCTCGCGCATGCGCATTGAGTATGATATCACCGAAGTAGTTAATCGCGATGTATTTTATAATACCATTATTATTATATTTCTATAATAATATTACTTATTCTAAATTAAGTGATATTATTATAGAGATATAATAATAAAATAATATAATAATAATATAAATAATATAGATATAATAATTAAGTAATATTATTATGGAAATATAATAATAAAGTAATATAATAATAAAATGATATAATAATAGAATAATAATAATATAGTAATAAAATAATATAATAATAAAATAATATAAATATAATAATAATAATAAAATACATTGCGTATTAACTACTTCAATCATATTCAATGCGCATGCGTGAGAAAACCTAACATACTAACAGCTGATGAGCTCGCGCGAAAAATATTGAGTTTTCTTTATAGTTTATTATTATTATATTACGCCTGATATATATATATTTTTTTTAAACTTCGATTAAGTATAAAATAGAGTTGTGTTAATAATTAGAACGGAAATCCTATCCGAGAGAATCTTTCTTAAAGAGATATTTCTTTGTGCTGATTGGTCAATTAAATGCTATCTTTTATCCCACGGGATAATGTCTAAATTAAATATAAAAAATATTAAAAGACGTAATGTATAAAATGAGATGTTAAATTCGTATACTTGTATTAAGTATTGATATTTACCTGCAATATATATCGATCTATATCGATTATCCTATGAAAGGGAGAGGTATTCTCGAATTTTCCTCTATGATTTTTCGAGGTTAATACGAGGTTAGTTACAGGAAGGCGTCCACGGTGATAAGGATTGAGGAATCATCGCAGTTACACGTCGGCAAATCCGATTGTCCCATGTGCAAGTCTACGAGCAGCTGCAAGCATGATCCTTTACTCTTTAATGTAAGGACACCGCGTTAAAACGGCTCGTTAGTGCGATTCTCTGCATGGTGTGTAATAGCAATTGGGTTTTTTTCTAGCTTAAAAATTGCCCTTCATCTGTAGTCTATTTTTATTTCTTTACTTCTTTCTTTCATCAATTTAATTAGATTTTTCACTTCATATTATGAGATCATTCTGTTTGAAAAATAAGTAAATTAAATTTACATTTAAGGATGTTTTGTACCTATTTTCAAAATATTGAAAATTTAACGAAAATTGTACAGAATGTCCTTACATATGATTAGAATATTCAGTACAATTTTTAAATCGAATCACTAAAGCGTTCACAAGTTATAAAGATTTTAATTTGCATCGAATTAACATGTGTTCTTATGGGAAACGTATAACTACGTCGATTCAAATGACAAAAACATGTGGAAATAATATTCAGAATTTGTTTAAAATTTGCAAAAGTTTAGATACAGAGAAAATATTTGATCAATAATATTATACAAGTACTAACTGGTTAAAAAATATTAAATATAATTCAATGAAGATAGCCATATATCTGTCACAGGCAAAATTCTCTGCCAAAAGTTAATCATTTCGATTAACAAAATTCGAAATATTTCAGTGAAAATGCAATAATTATTAAAAAATACATCTCTGATCAAATTGTAATATTCCACACAATTTCTCATACTTAAAATACACCAAGTGGATATATTCGTCAATATTGATTTTCAGTTATTTTTTATTGGGATTGTACATACAAAACATCCTTAATTATAAAAAGAGTATTGCATACATAGTTTAATTAGTTAAATAATTTTGCTTATTATCTATCCTTGCTCACTTTATATATTTTAATATTAATTGAAGTACATTTAGATACGTTTTTATAAGATAAGATTTACCTGTAGAAGTGATTTGTTTAAACAAGTTTATTATTATAGGACATCCATCATCCTATCCATAAATATGCTGTTGATAGTGGCAGTATGTAAATTACTCTGTATCCTTGTGCTTCTACCAATCTTGTTGATAAAATGGAGAAAGTTTTACTCAAAAAAGCGAGAAGAAAGACAACAGAGAGGCACAGTCGTTGGAATCTTTCATCCATATTGCAATGCAGGTGGAGGAGGCGAGAGAGTGCTTTGGGCTGCGATTCATGCTATACAAAATAAGTATGTATCTCAATAAAATTTGCAGCATCTAATATTAAAAAATTTATTTTAAATATTAAAAATTAATCCACCAAAATCAAAATATATCTATACTTTCTTTGTTATCATACATCTCGTATACGAATAATTATATTTCTTATTATTATTTACGCACTGTATGCTTCTAGATATCCTGATGTACATATAGTTATATATACTGGTGATCTTGATGCTGATCCCGATAAGATTCTCAACAAAACCGAAAAAGCATTCAATGTACAATTACGTCCAAACATTGAATTCGTCTACCTACATAGGCGAAAATGGGTGGAAGCTTCCATGTATCCTTATTTTACATTGCTGGGACAAAGTCTGGGATCTATCTGGTTGGGTATCGAGGCGTTGAACAAGCTTCCACCAGGTAACATAATAAATTGTTAAATATATTGATAATGTTCCTATATAATTTCCATTATATAAATAACAAGTACATAAAAATATACAAATTGCAGACGTATATATCGATACAATGGGTTATGCATTTACATATCCTTTATTTAAATATATCGGTGGTTGCCGAGTCGGATCGTACACACATTATCCTACCATTTCGACCGATATGTTGAGGTACGTCTACAAAAGAATTGTTGCGTACAACAACCGCCGAATCATTACCAGGAATCCATTTCTCTTGGGAGTGAAGATTCTTTACTATAAATTATTTGCACATGTAAGTGTATATATATACAGGGTGGTCCCGAACGTTCCAGCCAGACTTTGAAATCTTATAGGAAATTTAATTCTGAACAAAAAAATTTCCTACAAACATTGGTCGAAAAATGCTTCCTTAAGAAGTTATCGCTTAAAAACCTCTGATGAAGGAAGAGCAAAAGGTGAAAAGAAAATGAAACTAAATAAATTTCTTGAAAAACGTCTTTATTCATTTTCTACTATTATGTGCTATTACTAAAATATTAGTTTTAAAAAAAATTATTTTCATAAAAGAAAAAGATTTTTATTTTTTATTTTTATCGTTTTTTTCAAGAAATTTATTTAGTTTTATTTTCTCTTTATTTCATTTTTTTTTCACCTTTTGCTCTTCTTTCAGCAGAGGTTTTTGAGTGATAACTTCTTAAGGAAGCAGCATTTTTTGACCCATGTTTATAGGAAATTTTTTATTCAGAATTAAATTTCCTATAAGATCTCAAAATCTGGCTGGAACGTTCGGGGCCACCCTGTATACATATTTATATAATTAATATATATTTAAGATTATAAAATTTGATTAATACTTTTTATAAAAAGAAAAAGATATATCGCTTTCAAACAATTATTTGATGTTAGATTATTGTAGTTGTACGGACTAGTCGGTAGCTGCGCCGAAACTGTGATGGTAAACTCGTCGTGGACCGAAGATCATATCAATTCTATCTGGAAATGTCCATTAAAAACGCATCGAGTGTATCCTCCGTGCAACGTGGAGCATCTGCTCAAATTGCCGCTTCTTAGTGACGAGGAAAAAGGCGATTGTATACGTATAGTAGCGCTCGCGCAATTCAGACCGGAAAAGAATCATCCGCTCATGTTAAGAGCCATGTTTGAATTGAGATCAATTCTCGAAGAGGAAGTTTGGGAAAGAGTAAGTTGGTGAATTGAGAAGGAACAAAAATGCATTCTAAAATTAATTATATAGGACCAAAAGTGTGGATACAGTCGAATAAAACGCATTTCTAAAGAAATGCAGCAATCTCGTATAGAATGCATTTTAGAACAAAATGCTTTAGGCAAAAGTTGTAAGAATTAAAAAGATGTATTTAACTATAATATCCATTTGACATTGAGTGGCGTCGTTGAATTTTTTAAATGAAACCCCCTATTTTTCATTGCATATTTTTGTAGCTTACCTCGAGAGCTTTCCAAAACACTATAATAAATTATTTTTCCTTCAAGTACTTTTTGAGTTATAAGGCTTGAAATCATTTCTTAATTTTACATAAACCGTAAAATATCTTGTAAAATATTCATTTTTCGATTATTTTATCTTAATACTTTTATGTACAAAATAATGGGAATAATAATCAATTGGTGTAAAGAAAACATACAGTTGTTTTTAAGAAAAAATATGGAATTGTTAATTTCAAAAATTATATATTTTGCTTTGAAACAACTATGTGTTTTCTTTACACCAATTGATTCCTCTCATTATTTTGTACATAAAAGTATTAAGGTAAGATAATCGAAAAATGAATATTTTACAAAATATTTTATGGTTCATGTAATGGTTTATGTAAAATTAAGAGATTATTTCAAGCCTCATAATTCGAAAAATACTCAATGAAAAAATACTTTATTATAGTGTTTTGGAAAGCTCTCGAGGTAAGCTACAAGAATATGCAATGAAAAATAGGGGATTCCATTTAAAAAATTCAAGTTGACCATGCCCTCAAGTTGACGACGCCGCTCAATGTCAAATGGATATTACAGTTAAATACATCTTTTAAATCCTTACAACTTTTTAATCCTTACAACTTTTCTAAAGCATGTTGTTCTAAAATGCATTCTATATGAGATAATCGACTGTATCCAGACTTTTGGTTCACCTTGTATATACATTATTTAGGTCAAATTAATCTGCATCGGTTCCTGTCGAGACGCAGAGGATGAAGCACGCGTCAAGGATATGCAGGATTTGGCTAAACACTTGGCTTTAGACGAGAATGTCGAGTTCAAATTAAATATACCGTTCTCTGAACTCGTATTAGAACTGCAACGAGGAACAATTGGTCTGCACACAATGTGGAACGAACACTTTGGTATCGGTGTTGTGGAATGTATGGCCGCGGGATTGATTATGGTGGCTCACGCTTCTGGTGGACCGAGGTATTTACTAGAAACAAAAAATTAACGTCAAAATTTAACGAAAAACGATTATTTTTTTTATTAAAAACTGTTTCATAATCCTAGAGCAGACATCATAGAAACGCAAACGGGTAGCGTGACTGGATTTCTAGCAGAAGACGAAGAAGAATACGCGAAGGTATTAGCGTACATTATACATATGCATCAGGACGAACGAAATGCTATTAGAATTGCTGCGAGGTACATATATTCATAATTATATGATATTAAAATGATATGAAAAGGATACCATTATCTCGACTATTCTTTACAGATCATCTGTAAACCGATTCTCATGTCAGCTTTTCGAGAAAGAATTTCTACGAGCGGTCGAGCCGTTTTTTCGAGCGAAACAAGAGTAATTCCGTTGCCTTGTAATTTTTCTAAAAAATGGTAAATTATGGATGTGTGCGTGTGACTCTTTTCAAAATTAGAATGCGCATTTTCGGTACATGTTATATATTATCCTGTGTATGTAATAGCATGTATATATAACAAATAAGTGTTTCCTATGTGACAAATCAATATTTACTCGTTAAGAGAATTTCGAGACTTTTTACTTGATGTCCATTAATTTTACGATACATTACATTGAACAAATCATGATTTACACAAGCACATTGTATAACAATAATTGTCAACAAAGTGTAATTTAGATTTAAATTCACCGTAAAATTCTAGAAATACCAGAGAATATCGAAAGTTTATGAAAGTATGTGAAAGTATATGAAAGTAAGTGTGTTAATATCGATGTTGCTGAATTTACTTCCGGTAACAGCAAGGATCCAACTATTTGTATGATTGGCGTAAATACTTATATCGAAACACATGAGCAGTGATAAGTTATAAAGCATCATTATTTGATCATTGTTTAATTACATTCTCATTAATCAGTCCACATCCCTTACACTCCAGAACATAGGACAAAGTATCTCCGCCTTCGGCGCTTTCCGACAAATTGAAAGCGAGTCCGCGTTTACCTAACATCATCTCTGCGATCTGCATGGCAGTCTCCGTGTGACAAGTAAGTTTCCTATCCGCGACTTTAATCTTCGAAATACCTTTCGCCAGTGCCATTAGAATTATCATCTGTAACAAGTAACATGATAACATGAATGTCAAATGGCTTTTCTTGTATCTACTTCGGACATCCTTACTTGATCCTGTGTGTGTTCATCGACACATGCTCCTGTTAGAAGCGGCTTCAAAATCTCGATAGCCGCCGTTTCACCTGGCGACGATGCTTCATGACGTCCAGAGCCTAAGCCGGAGCCGCCGAGGACGCATCCAGTACTGGTATTGCATACTATACTAATATCCACATTTATGTTTATATATTGCTAGCGTTTTTTTTATTTAAGATGGATTTAAGATTAAAACAGAATTTTATATAATAGTTTTAATACACAATAATTTAAAAAAAATACAAATAATTTTAAAAAATGTTTAAAAATACACCTAAAAAATACATTATATATATAATAATTTTAAAAAATACAAATAATTTAAAAAAATTTTTTAAAAAAATTTTATATAATAGTTTTAATACACAATAATTTAAAAAAAATACAAATAATTTAAAAAAATTTTTAAAAATACAAATAAAAAATACATTATATATACAATAATTTAAAAAAATACAAATCATTTAAAAAAATTTTAAAAAAGAATTTTATATAATAGTTTTAATACACAATAATTTCTTACTTGATACCAGAGCCGTTTCCTACAGCCATTGCTCTATCTTCCCTGTAAGCATCGATTGTAATTGGTGGCACTCGAATATTGCTTTTTATCAATTTATTTGTTAAAGCCGTCTTAGCATCGCTTGCCATTTTATGCGCTTCCTAGAAGATATGATTAATTCAAATTTGACTTGTCTTTTCCTTGTAGACAGGGCCGGATTTAAAGGTGTGGAGGCCTTTGGGCAACGAAGAGATAGAGACCCCTAACCATTTTTGAACCAAAATCACATAGAAATTTTTACGTTTAAATAATTTATAATTAAATAATATAATTAATATATAAATATATAATATTAATATATATAATTAATATATAATTAAATAATAATATAATTTTTAATTATATATATTAATATATTAATATATATAATTAACATATAATCAAATAATAATATAATTTTTTATGTTTAAATAATTTATTGCGAAATAACAAGGTCAAGCAATATACATAGACCTTGTAAGTGTTGTATACCATTCGATAGGAAATTTTACCCAAAAATTTGTGTTGTGAATACCCCTGGGCTTCAGCCCCCATCCGGCCCTGCTTGTAGATTGAATTAAAATGATACATACATTTATATTAACTGCTCCAGCTACATAAGACCATCCTGTTATTCCTCGTGGAACTCCCGGATCGAGTAAAGTAATCGCATTTAAGTTACCAACTGGTTTTATGCGTAAATGTACTTCGCCTCCTCCCTTTGGATAATACCCCCTCCATTTGTCATTAATTTTAGTATAAATGGAATAAAGCATGGAGACATTCAAGACCAGATACAATAAGATGAGTGTATATACCTTCTCACAACAATGAAATCAAAATCTGCTCCAAACTTATTCAGCATTGGCTTAAACACTTCTGTTAAATATTCAATGTGTGGACCCATCGGAACATTTGTGCCACCCTTGAGAACAAGCGTGATTGTGTCAGTGCATGGAAAAAAGAGTGCGCATGGTAATGCTACTTGGGCCAACAAACAAATACATCCAGCAGTTTGCGTATCGGCTACAAACTGTCGCTTCTTTGTGTTTAATGGGCCAGGACGAAATTCCAAATGCGTTGATCCTACATATCCGCCTCTAACTTGAGCGTTACACATCTCCTTGGCGAGTTCCACTCCTACAACAATATATAATCTCAAATCTTCTATGCTTTAGATATATAATGTATGAAAATATTGAATCCTCTTGCATTTATAACATACCTTTCAAGTGCTGTGCAGCAAGACCAGGCTTAGGCCTTCCAGCACGTATATTCTCAATTTCAATAGGAATGCCATAGAGCGTACTCAAACAGAGAGCAATTCTTAATACTTGCCCACCCTACAAAAGAAAAATTAAGATTGTGCAAGGGATATATGATTTTTCTTTCAATTTATGTACGATTTGTATTCCCTTCTCGCCTGAACAATATTAATATAGTTTTGAAATGTTAATATAATAGTAAATCATTTTTAAGATTTGCATCGTCCATCGATGCCTGTGGTTATTTGCCTGGTTTTTGTAATTTTTCTGATATATATCTTTCAAACTATTTTAATTTATACACGATTTACACTTTCTTTTATACATGATTTACATAAGGAGCAGTCAATAACGACAAGAAATAAAATAATTTAGCTTTCATGGCATGTCTAACGATCATTTATTTTGAAAATTTATTTGAACTCTGCAGCTAAAATATTTCACAAGGAAATTTATGCATGAAATTTATGCGTGAAAATAAGAAATTAGAAAAGAAATTAAAATATTCAAAACCGTTTCTCATTTTCTTTTTGGAGATAAAAACCAAATATTTATCACGCTTAGCAAATATAACCTGGTAGATATTTTATCCAAGAGGCAATACTCGAGGAGATTACTTCCAATACGGTACTCACTCCTTCGCCCAAACTACCGTCTATTTGCACAAGGGACGACATGACGCTCCTAAGCATTCAAGTTTCACATTTGAGGAGTCTTCACATTCGATTTCGCGTTTATTTTTGGCGCGTTGCGCGATTTCCTTGGAGAAAGAATACAAGCCGGTGTAAGCGCTTGTTCGCCCAGGGCAGGGGGGATATTTACATCTAACTATAGAATGAATTTCGCTCGTAAAGCTCGCCGGGTATTCCACATATGGCCTTCCGAGAAATCACGGAGATCCGTCAAAGTTTTTGTTTTCGCTCGCAATTTCACGATCAACGAAATATTCACGTCGCAAGAGATTTATCGTTTATCTGAAAAAAAAGAAGATAAATTTAATATTTATTTCGTGATGTGATTTTTACGTGCGAGAAACTTTGTATGCATTTTTTAAAGGATATTTTGTTTGTACAATCCCAGCAAAAAGTAGCTGAAAATCAATATTGACAAATATATCCACTTGTGATGTATTTTGAGTAAGAAATTGTGTAGAATATTACAATTTGATCAGAGATGTATTTTTTAATGTTTATTGCGATTTTACTGATATATTCCGAATTTTGTTAATCGATTAACTTTTGGCAGAGAATTTCGCCTTGTGACAGATACATGGCTAACTTGATTGAATTATATTTAATATCTTTTTAACCAGTTAGTACTTGTATAATATTATTTGACCAAATATTTCCTGTGTGTCTTGCAAATTTTAAATAAATTCTGAATATTATTTCCATGTGTTTTTGTCATTTGAATCGACATGGTTAAAGTTTCCCATAAGAACACATGTAAATTCGGTGCAAATTAAAATCCTTACAACTTGTGAACGCTTTAGTAAATCGATTTAAAAATTGTACTGAAGATTCTAAACATATGTAAGAACATTCTGTACAATTTTCATTAAATTCTCAATTTTGAAAATGGGTACAAAACATCCTTAATCGAAATGATTAACTTTTGGCAGAGAATTTGGCCTTGTGTCAGATACATGGCTAATTTCATTGAATTATATTTAATATCTTTTTAACCAGTTAGTACTTGTATAATATTATTTGACCAAATATTTCTTCTGTATCTAAACTTTTGCGAATTTTAAACAAATTCTGAATATTATTTCCATGTGTTTTTGTCATTTAAATCGACGTGGTTAAAGTTTCCCATAAGAACACATGTTAATTCGATGCAAATTAAATTTAGTGAATCGATTTAAAAATTGTACTGAAGGTCCTAAACATATATGTAAGGACATTCTGTACAATTTTTATTAAATTCTCAATATTTTGAAAATGGGTACAAAATATCTTTAAGGATGTTTTGTATGTATAATAAAATCTCAGTAAAAAGTAGCTGAAAATCAATATTGACGAATATATCTACTTTTGATGTATTTTGAGTAAGAAATTGTGTGGAATATTACAATTTGATCAGAGATCTATTTTTTAATATTTATTGTGTTTTTACTGAAATATTTCGAATTTTGTTAATCGAAATGATTAACTTTTGGCAGAGAATTTCGCCTTGTGACAGATACATGGCTAATTTCATTAAATTATATTTAATATCTTTTTAACCAGTTATTACTTGTATAATATTATTTGACCAAATATTTTCTCTGTATCGAAACTTTGGCAAACTGTAAACAAATTCTGAATATTATTTCCATGTGTCTTTGTCATTTGAATCGATGACATGGTTATACGTTTCCCATAAGAACACATGTTAATTCGGTGGAAATTAAAATCTTCATACCTTGAATAATCAATTTAAAAATTCTACTGAAGATTCTAAATATATGTAAAAACATTCTGTACAATTTTCATTAAATTCCCAATATTTTGAAAATAAGTACATAACATCCTTAATTATGAAAAAAAAGAAAAATTTTTCTCCTCAGGCATGTGTAATTCGAAAATCTCCGTGAATCTCCGTGAATCTTCGCCGCAAGTGGACGACGACAGCGCCATTTGACAGCGGAAAATTGGTAGTGTCAGGTGCCAGGGCGAATAAGCGAGCCTCTCTCACGTTATATACTCCCCATAGAGTATAGAGCACAGCCCTTCTGTCCTTCTGTACGTAAAGTGTGACGAGGTTAAAAAACAGCTGTTCTGCTGGATGGTTGCTTTGACAGAGGGATCGACGGATCAAGCGGATGATTTATCACAAATCCAGGCCCTTAAATGATATCGCGAATATTTCGTGGGGAAAATGAGAATGTCGCGGTCAAACGCAAACGGCAAATCGACACTCTGAAAATCTTTAATGACAAGTAAGAGTAAACTCGGACGAGCCTCCTCGTCATCTCGTCGTTGTCGTAACCTCTCATTAACCTCGCTTATATATTTATTACCACCAATCTTCGCTCGTAAACATCCATTCCTATCTGGCAAATAATCGCTACGTTTATCTGTTCAATATTATTTTTGCATCGAAGAGGGTCGGTCTCTATCATCCACATCGATCATAGAATTTTCGAAATTTTTTTTTTCCAAATTGCTGCTGCATCATGCTTGCAATCGTGGTAAAATATTTGTTTGAATAAATGTTTTTTTCTAAAAAATAAAAAATAAATAAAAAAAATATAAAAAAAATATAATCGAGTTGGTGTAATAAATAATTAATGTTGGCTCGAGGTTGCTGTTTTCAAGGGTTTGATTACCAGTGTAATGTATAGTGACGTGTTGCAGTGTGATAGAGCTCAGAGAAAATGTGGACTATCAGGTGGAATTTCAAGCTGGCGAGAGACGAATGGCTATCATGGTTTCCTTGCTGCCAAATTTCCCATTGGAGAAGCCAGTACTTAGAGTTTCCCCACCGATAAGCCATCCCTGGTGCAACGAGCACAGTGAAATCACTAGCGCACCAGGATTACTCAATGTGAGTGAAAAAGTTCACGTGTCGATAATTTGGGAAACATATATTGTTAAAGATATATTGTTAAATATATAAAGATATACTGTTAATATATTGTTAAAGATTCGTGTATCGCTTTCTCTACATTTTATATTCCTCTTGTATATTCTATGTCGATGTATCTAAAAGTGGATAATCATTTTTCTTGTTATTTTAGTTTTCAGTGCACAGCGATCTTGGTCGGGTCGTTCAAGCTATCATCAGAGAATTCAGTAAGAATCCACCCAAGTTATTAGAGGACATTTCGCCTAGCTCTGCCAAGCCTCATAGAGGTATGCGTTAATATTTTTTACTTATATCCTACATTTTACTTAATTTTTTTCTGCGTCGATGCGTTGAGGTATTTTTCATTCGACGATTCATTTTGCAGATTTACAAGGAAGGAACTCGCCGTCTTTTTCGCTTCAGCAGTATCCCGTCGAAATCCCATCGACGTCGTTCAATTCGTATTACAATACGCAATTTCCACATTTGTCGTCCTCCAGTGCAAATACGTGCATTTACAATTATAATTACACAAACTCCGGTCACACGTATGTCTCGACCTCGAAATCATTCGGCAACACGTCGCATCGCTCGGCATATATTCCTTCGAGAAGCAGCGCTCTACACAATGCCGCACCCACAGGATATACCGCGAATCATCGTGGCACGCCTTATTTGAATTCGCATTACGCGAACGCGAATTATCAGCAGACATTGCCGAGTCAATCGCAGACGCAGGTTCCGCAGAGCATAATATTTCCCGAATTAAATAATTTAACGAATGAAGAATTGAAGAGGCTCGGTGAAGATGACGATAAGCTGGATGAATTTCTGGAGAAACATTCCCAAATTAAAGAGATAAATGCAGCAATCGAAGATGCTATGGATTGGGTTGAAAGAACTGCCGGTAGGAACAAGAATATTTTATTGGAATATTGTGTGAAACATTTCATTTTTGTATATTACTTTCTTCCATTACCTTTTGTCTTATTTACTGGGTGTTAAAAGAGTCTGGACACGGTCGAATATCTCGGTAAGGAAGAGTCTTACTAGAAAGTGTTTCAGACAAAAGTTGTATGGCTTCGAGAGGGACATAACATGGTACCATTGGTTTGATCTTGAAGAGTTATTTGAAGATCACATGAAGGTCATCTTCAATTTCTTAAATGGAACCTATTCTTTCTCATTATATATTCTTGTAGTTTATCTCGAGAGCTTTCCAAAACACTATAATTAAGTAAGTTTTCATTGAGTACTTTTTGAGTTATGAGGCTTGAAACTAGAGACTGTAAAATATCTTGTAAAATATTTATTTTTCAATTATCTTACCTTAATACTTTTATGTATAAAATAATGACAGGAATCAATTGGTGTAAAGAAAACACATAATTGTTTCGAAAAAAAAAATGTAATTTGCAATTAACAATTACATTTTTTTCTTAAAAATAACTATGTGTTTTCTTTACACCAATTGATTACTCCCATTATTTTGTACATAAAAGTATTAAGGTAATCGAAAAATGAATATTTTACAAGATATTTTACAGTTTATGTAAAATTAAGAAATGATTTCAAGTCTCATAACTCGGAAAGTACTCAATGAAAACTAACTTGATTATAGTATTTTGGAAAGCTGTCGAGATAAGCTATAAAATATATAATGACAAAGAGTAAGTTCCTTTTAAGAAATTGAAGGTGATCTTCATGTGACCTTCAAATAACTCTTCAAGATCAAACCAATGGTACCATGTTATGTCCCTCTCGAAGCCATACATCTTTTGTCTGAAACACTTTCTAGTAAAACTCTTCCTTATCGAGATATTCGACCGTGTCCAGCCTTTTTTACACCGTGTATATCTATATTAAATTGTTTTATTTCAATCAATTATCAATGAGTCCGTATCTTTTCTCGTAGAATCCAATGCAGCCAAAGAACCCGAGCTGGAGCAACTGCAAGCTGATGTGACGGACAAGATAAAAGCAGTGACGGTGCTGAAAGCCAGATACGATAATCTCATACAACGATACAATAAATTGTCCGAAGTCTTCACGCCGGATCACATAAAAGAGTGTTTGAGGGAAGCTGCAGACGAGAGTCACGAAGAGAGCGAAAAGATCGCCGAGGATTTTCTAAACCGGAAAATCGATGTCGAGCGTTTTCTCAGCACGTATATCGAATGTCGAAAGCTGGGCCAAGCGAGACGAACCAAGGAAGAGAAACTGGCGCATCAGTTGAACGAATTGAAACGGGCTGGTTTCTGAAATGATACGCATATAATCATCTTTTTCTATGGATCGAACAAAGCAACTGTAAATAAGACTTAGTTAATTTAAACGTTATTGTGAATTTAAATTCATAGCATTCGTGATTACCAAACGTCTGCGGTTAGAGAAATCAACTGAGTATTCAGTTGAAAAAAACATATTTTTTGCGTAAATGCTTTACGTTTTGCTCGCTTCTTATATATATATACTTATGCTAGATTTTAAATCACTTTAAATCACACGCGCGTAGCATTCCAGAGTTGAACATGTATACACGTACACACAAGTGGCGCTAAACGGAAGTGAAAACCAGGAGTGCTTTAAGATTGACTTCGATGGAGATTCTGTATTTCGGACAATTTCGTGAGATAAGAAAGCAATATGCATGAGTGAACGAATTAAATCCGTGTTTGCAATTCCCATGTAACAAGTTGATTCATACGCGAGTACTTACTCCATAGTGAAAAAAAAAAAAAGAAAAACAACGTGGCTTTAATTATGTTAGTTTTGCACATGTGATAATAAACACATGTACCGTCGCGATTAACTCCGAGGGAGGTACGTTTTTTACTGTGTAAATAAATGTGCAGGGATGTAATTAAAATCAATTTTTGAAAATTTGCTATTCGGTGACGTTACTTTTAATTATTTATCCTGTGAATGTTCCTACTGTTGTAACATATTAAACAAATTGTATAGATATACAATGAAGAGAAACGAAAGCAAAAAAAAAATCGTTGATCTTGAAAGATTTCAACCTCTCCCTCCCCATGCCTAAAAATAGAAAATAAGAAAGTGTTAGCATAAATGATGACTCACACAATGTTTAATAACATTTATTATTATAAACTATATTATATCGATTTGTTCATATTTTGAAGATTGATTTCAAATATTAATAAATGTTACCAATTTATATATACAGGTGTCACCTAATTGGCGCCCACTATTTATATTCCTCGTGGAAAACTGAGTCGAAAAGTCCTGAACTATTTTTTTCTTAAATGCTTAATAAAGCGGTAATTATTGAGTAAAGTTGCGTCAATAAGCACCGACCTTTAGCCTTCTTGATGAAATTTTCTTTAAGGAAACGCTTTTAACGGAAGAAATATGATTTTTAATGCAAAATAAAGTTTTTTGCTTTATAGAAGAAAAAATGGTTAAAAAAAAAATAGTTTCAAATTTTTTTCATTATAAAAAAAAATGGTTCAGGATTTTTCGACTCAGTTTTCTACGAGGAATATCGTTATATAAATAGTGGGCGCCAATTAAGTGACACCCTGTACATATAGAAGGTGGCCCCGAACGTTCCAGCCAGACTTTGAGATCTTATAAGAAATTTAATTCTGAACAAAAATTTCCTATAAACATGGGTCGAAAAATGCTGCTTCCTTAAGAAGTTATCGCTCAAAAACCTCTGCTGAAGGAAGAGCAAAAGGTGAAAAGAAAATAAAATAAAAAGAAAATGAAACTAAATTTCTTGAAAAAAACGATAAAAATAAAAAATAAAAATCTTTTTCTTTTATGAAAATAAAATAAAAGTTAGTTAAAAAAAGAAAAATTATTTTATGGAACATTCGGGGCCACCCTGTATATATGTATATGTATATGATACATTATAGTAAAATATGTATAATATATAATTTTTATTTTTCTTATAAATTTGCGATTGTTAACTATATGCTAAAAACACGTTCAAACGTACATTTTTTACATTGAAGTACAAAAATAATACATTGATCAAGCAGTTTTCATTTCTGTTAAATGCACTATTCAGTCCATCAGTAGCAATTGACGTTTCTAGCTGACAACAATGAGCATCATTTATATAGAATTATATGTCTCATAATTCACGCTCTCTATTTTCCCTCTCTTTTTATATTCTAACTTGTATTTTTAATACATTGGCAGTCGAATAATTTGAGATTGATGCGTTACGATAAGTCCCATTACGGATCCACGAAGGAGATCATAATGTAACGCGTGCCCGCGGTTACTCGCAATCCTTCATGATAGTGCGTCAATCTTCCGGGATGCATCAGCATCCAGCCTGGCTTCGTGTCGGTGACGGAGCAGTTGTATCGGATGAATTTGCATCCACCTCCCTCGTAATCCACACCCGCCTGATTCAAGGCGATGTTGATGGTATAGGTCGAGGAGTCGTGATGTGGCCGCAAGAATGGCTGCTCGTCCGGGCGGTATCTTACGACGAAATTCATAAGCGATCGCGGTGGCTGTTGACATTAAATTAATGTAATAATCGATTCGAACTAGAGTGATTTATGATAAATGTATTTTTCTTATCCAAATAAAGCTTTGTTGATATAATTCTACATATATGCTGCAGAAATCTCTTCAAATTTTATCCGAAGCGGTATAATCAGAACGTTTACGAAGCGGTACAACCAGACTACGAGAGCAAATCGTAACCCGAAAGCATATACATGTGCATATACACAGAAAAAAAGGACATTCTTGTTTTGAAAATATTTTTAGTTTTAACATGGAAATCTTGAAATGAGATTATATTGCGTTAATTAAAGGAAAATATAATTGCTTGAATAATTGCTTACTTGAATGAAGCCATTTTATATAGTTCGATCAAGAAAAATATATTCTTATGATTTAAGATTTAATTTTCTTGAATGGAAAAGAAACAATGTTAGATGGAAAATAACATTTTCAAATCAAAGATTATAATTTTCTTAAAGTAAAATTAAATGATTATATAATCTTGAGGTGACAATTACATATTAAAATAAGACTATAATATTGTTAATGAAATTTAGAATTATTAAATTATTTAAATTATTAAATTATTAAGTTCTTCTAAAAAGATTATAAATTGTTGCATGTATACGAAACAATAAATACGTTAGTTTAAGGATGTTTTGTATGTACAATCCCAGCAAAAAGTAGCTGAAAATCAATATTGAAGAATATATCCACTTTCGGTGTATTTTGAGTAAGAAATTGTGTGGAATATTACAATTTGATCAGAGATGTATTTTTTAATATTTATTGTGATTTTACTGAAATATTCCGAATTTTGTTAATCGAAATGATTAACTTTTGGCAGAGAATTTCGCCTTGTGACAGATACATGGCTAACTTCATTGAATCATATTTAATATCTTTTTAACAAGTTATTACTTGTATAATATTATTTGACCAAATATTTCCTCTGTATCTAAACTTTTGCAAATTTTAAACAAATTTTGAATATTATTTTCATGTGTTTTTGTCATTTGAATGGACGTGGTTATATGTTTCCCATAAGAACACATGTTAATTTGGTGCAAATTAAAATCCTTATAACTTGTGAACGCTTTAGTGAATCGATTTAAAAATTATACTGAAGATTCTAAACATATGTAAAGACATTCTGTACAATTTTCATTAAATTCTCAATATTTTGAAAATAGCTACAAAACATGCTTAAGTATATGTTTTATTTTTTTTTCTGTGTATCCGAGTGCATTGCGAGATCTATGTGCGCGTTTAAGATCACTTCCGTATACCAGGATATCTCAGAATCTTACGTAATCCTCGTATCCTGTAAAGACATGCTGTTGCAAGGGACTGATGTAATCTTTGAGAAATTTTAACCATGCGTCCTCGAGGCCGACTTGGTTCATGTGAATATCGCGAGTCGGTACCGCTTCGTATCCGGATTCCAGTCGGGAATCCTAAAAAGAGATCCGACATACACAAATGAATCTTACGTCATGATAGTAGCCGGTGAAGACGCGCTCTTGCAATGGTCTAACGTATTCTTTCAAAAAGTATAACCACTGTTGTTCGTATTGAATTTGATTCATGTGAATATCACGGGTCGGCACATTTTCGTAACCACCCGTCAACCGTGGATCCTGCCGAAAATTTTCATGTACATTACAAGTACAAATGATTTCTATTACATACATTATTACACTCTAAATTAATAAAACAAATTGAAACAATTTACTTACGTGATTAGAGCCATCGGACCATTGCCCAAAAGTCTCGACGATCCCAATAAGTTCGCTGGTGAACCTAAGAGTAGCGATGGGGAACCAATAGACATCGGGACACGGCTGCAAACAATAGTCTTATGTAACCCCTATTAAACAACGAGATTCCTGCCTCGATTTACCTGTATCGGTTTTTTATCGGGATTAAAATTCTCGCTGTAATTCGGATGAATGTATCTCTTCTCCCAATCCAGCTTGTTGTCCATAATCTGGTACATGTCCGGATAGGTAAGTCGGATGTCGTAGCTATCAGGATTGACGAGATGACCAAAGTCGAGCCTATTGTTGAGGTACATGAAGAGGCCTCTCTGTCGGTTGGTCCGAGCAAAAGCCATTTCCGTGTCCAGCTCGGCATCCTCGTAGGACGGCCGGGTCGCCTTGTTTGCTATAATGGTCGCGTTGATCAAGTAGCAGTTACTGACGAACGGCACGTTCCACAGTCCCCTGAAACAGACGTGTTAACGTGATTCGACGAACTGCGCGAGTCGAGAGACGGAAACGAGAGCGCGTGCAACGAGCGCAACAAGCAGACGCATTTGCCCGGCTGTGGCGAACATCGTGTTGTTTTCGCGGAGGTCATTGCTTAAGTGTTTTGTAAGGTGATCGTGGTAATTTTGTGGTAGCCGCGATTGGCCGATGAACATACTTGGCAATGGGTTATGCATAATTATCCAATTGAGAGTCATAACTCTTGTCACACTAGCGTGTGACTGCGTGTGTCCGGCGTGCGTCGTGTGGTCCATTCGTATTTTAGGGTCTAGCGGATCCGATCTCCGTCGTACATTCTGCGTGTCAGGGATCAGCCGAGTCCTTCAGAACCTCCGGTAAGAGCACAGCAGACGTATACGTTGCGTGAATAGCGTAAAACGGCTCGTCTATAGATTACCTTCATCGTTATTGGCCGCGGAACGCGGCTCATTTATCTCATCAATGAATTTCTCACGCGCTCGCCGATAGATATAATATAATAATATATTATAGCAGAGTGATGAATTATACTTGGCGTATATAATAGTGACGGAAGGTATATAAGGTGTTGGCGCGAACGAGTCTGCCCGCATTAGTCATCCCGGTGGTCAAGAATCTCTCTCTCTCTCTCTCTTTCTGGGTTGTAGAACAAATGACGAGATGCCGGCTGCTATATCTGTTCCTATTAACGGCCCTAATGATGAGCACCGAAGCGCAGAAGGGCGGCGGAGGCAGAGGAGGGAGAGGTCGCAGCCGAGGAAGAACATGGGGCTCGCGGATGCCCATCTTGATACCTAATCGAAATCCCGCCAGCGCCAATTATTACGAGAATAAAGATGTGAGTTGAGACGTAATAGTTGAGGACGAATCATCTGATAATGGGTTTTTCGCAGGGTGCCAAGATCGTGAAATCATCGCACTTTGAGTTGGATTACATGCTGGGCAGGAAGATCACGTTCTTCTGCATGGCCACCGGTTTCCCTAGGCCGGAAATCACCTGGCTGAAGGACGGGATCGAGCTGTACCATCACAAATTCTTTCAGGTAGGTCTCAATAGCCGTTAAAAGGGTGCTCGCCGTCCTAAAAAAAATCCATTGTTAAGAGAATGTTTATCATGATCGAGAAAATCGAGGGAATCGTTTCAATCGCTAGGTGCACGAATGGCCCGTCGGTAATGACACGATTAAATCGAAAATGGAGATTGATCCTGCGACGCAGAAGGATGCGGGATACTACGAGTGCCAAGCGGATAATCAATATGCCGTCGATCGTCGGGGCTTCAGAACGGACTATGTCATGATCTCGTATTAAACGCGTTCTCTAGTCGTAGCTCCGCGATCGCTTAGTTTATTAGAATCAGATTATTAATATTATTAAAATTATTAATATTAATATTATCAAAAATATTAATATTGTTAAAAATATTAATATTATTAAAAATATTAATATTACTAAAAATATTAATATTGCTAAAAATATTAATATTACTAAAAATATTAATATTATTAAAAATATTAATATTAATAAAAATATTAATATTATTAAAAATATTAATATTATTATTTTTTTTTAAACAATAGTTGATAGATATTTGTTATTACAAAGAGATTTACTATTTGATATATTTTTACCTGATATAAAATAGACACGTTAGTTACTGATCGAGACATCGCACAAACATCTTGAGATCATTTAAAGAAATTGATTGAAAAAATTCACACATATAATTGACGAGATAGATCCAAGCATTTTCTTCATTTTTTCCTATCTGCTCTACAACATGTATCAATGATGTAAAATTTTTATATAGTATAGTACATGATAAAATTATATTAATATTTAAAACATTATAAAATTATAAAATTTATAAAATTATATTATATTAATATTTTGCACGACAGTGAAACGAATAATTTGTTTTTTCTCTTTAAACAAAACAGATTCATGCAATTTATCAATGAGATATGCAAAGAGATGCGAATATGGGAGTTTCCCCTCCCCAGTTCTTATTCGTTAAAGCATGATTGAGTATTATAAAGGGTAGCGTGAGGAACATATCGAAAATGGTTCATCATCGCGAATTTAACAAGGTAATTGTGTCGTGCTATGACATGAAAGTGATATGGAAGGGCATATTTCATTGCATTATCATTGACGAACGCAACAACCTATATAACAAACCTGAATAAACAATTAGCACGAGTGTTAACAATGCATTGTGCATAGAAAAAAAGGACATTCTTGTTTTGAAAATATTTTTAGTTTTAACATGGAAATCTTGAAATGAGATTATATCGCGTTAATTAAAGAAAAATATAATTGCTTGAATAATTGCTTACTTGAATGAAGCCATTTTATATAATTCAATCAAGAAAAATATATTGTTATGATTTAAGATTTAATTTTCTTGAATGGAAAAGAAACGATGTTGGATAGAAAATAACATTTTTAAATCAAAGATTATAATTTTCTTAAAGTAGAATTAAATAATTATATATTCTTGAGATGACAATTACAATATTAAAATAAGACTATAATATTGTTAATGAAATTTAAAATTATTAAAATTATTAAATTATTAAATTATTAAAAATTATTAAAATTATTAAATTATTAAATTATTAATTTAAAATTATTAAATTCTCTTAAAAAGATTATAAATTGTTGCGTATATACGAAACAATGAACGCGTTAGTTTAAGTATATAAGTTTTAATTTGACACTTATTTTTTTTCTGTGTGGACATGCTTATTTTTTCCGACTGTTTTTTCCTTCCATTTTTCTTCGATTTTAATTTTTTCAATATAATATATAATATATTTTCGTGAGTTTTTTTTTAAATTTCAATCAAATAGTATCTTTTGCGTTAAACAATTAATATGAAAGTGCAAAAAATATCCGAAATTGAAAAATTGCCAAATTGTAAACGTGAATCATCCGGAAGGAATGGATATGGTTAAATTAATAGATAAGCGGTCTGCAGATTTGATAGAAATTGATGGTGATCACGTAGTGGACCAAAGGAATAACCACGGCACGTATAGTGCATAGAGTTTATCTGCGTATAAGTCTGTAATAGATACGAGAGGATACTAGGGGAGTAATGAGTTAGGTAGGTGACTGTCAGTTGTATCGGAGTTCCGTGTCATCGACGAACGTTGCTACATACGGTGAGTATCCTCATCGCATTCTCTCTGATATAAATACGTTTCAATTGAGCAGGCTTCCCAGTATCAATTTTACACGCTATATAAATCTACAATAATAAAATTTAATTTTTCGAGCACTCTTCTTGATTTGCAAATTAAATAGTTTGAAAGTCTGCAGTTCCAAAGATTACAAATATAATGGATTAATGTTTGATTCCGTATTATCAGATTATCATGTCACGTTCCATGTTATTGCTGATCCTGGTGGGTATTTTATTGCTCAATTGCCAAGAAACACTTGGCCGAAGAGGACGGGGAAGAAACAGAAGCAAATCTCGTGTGCAGATTGGATTGCCTATTACCGGAAAGTACCGTGATCCGGAAAGTGATCAGTATTACAATAATAACAACGTATGTAAAATAGAAGAGTGCCTAAAAGAAGAGTCCCTAGATCTTTCTTATTCATCACGCATTTTTCTAATGCCAAATTCAATTTGCTGTTAGCCTTTTATCGATCTTTTTAGGGAGCCAAGATACTGCTAGCATCGCACTTCGATCTGGAATATGTTTTGGGACACAAGATAGCTTTCCTCTGTGTTGCTCGTGGTAATCCACGTCCGCACATCACATGGTTCAAGGATGGCGCCGAGATTTACACACATCATTATCTACATGTCAGTGAACATTATTAATATGTAAAAAAATATTAATCTTTTGTTTTGCGTTTAAAGATTTTTCTCGTTAGAAAAACCTTAAGCAATAAGCAAGTCGACACGCATTTATAATCTACAGGGAAAACTGAGGGTGAAAAACTGAGTCGAAAAGTCCTGAACCATTTTTTTCTATAATGAAAAAAATTTGAAACCATTTTTTTGAAACCATTTTTTTTTAAACCATTTTTTCTTCTAATATGAAAAACTTTATTTTGCATTAAAAATTATATTTCTTCCGTTGAAAGCGTTTCCTTGAAGAAAATTTCGTCGAGGAGACTAAAGGTTGGTGCTTATTGATGTAACTTTACTCAATAATTACCGTTTTAAGCATTGTAGAAAAAAATGGTTCAGGACTTTTCGATTCAGTTTTCCACGAAGAATGTTGCTATATAAATAGTGGGCGCCAATTAAGTGACACCCTGTATAATAACTTTTGATAATCCAGCGCTAATATAATATCTCATTTCTTTGCAGATACACGAGTGGCAAGTTGATACTGACAAAGTGAAGTCAAAACTCGAGATTGATCCCGCCACTCAAATGGATGCCGGGGTTTACGAGTGCACGGCGGACAACATGTACAGCATCGATCGAAGGTCTTTCAAGACTGATTTCTCCATCGCTTTCGATTAGTGCGAGAGATCCGAAATAAACATATAAACTAGGTAAAATATGTAAATTCCAGGTAACGTGTAAAGTTTTTGCCATAGATATTACGAAGCGATAGATTCTAAGAAAAAAAAACGGTTCAGGACGATATATATTTTTATTGTAACTTATACTGAAATGGAAAACTATAAATCGTCCTGATAAAAAATTAGAAAGGAATTCTCTTTAATCCCAATCGCGAAAAACGTCTTAGAAAATCGCGAACCATTTATCTAGAATAATAAACTACTTTCTTCTAAAATAGAATGAGTACCCAGGTAGAACATAAAACGCATAATGACATCATTATGACGTCATCATGATTTTATTCATCATTTAAAAGTTTCCTAAACAAAAATGATTAAAAAATGAGTTAAAGATGACACAAAGAATCATAAATTTTTAAGTTCAATAACCGCATTATATAATTTTAAAAAGATTATGTTGCTTAAATATAATTAAAATATACATGAATAATTAAATAAACAAGTAACTGCGTAATATATATAAAAATGATATTAATAAGTCACCAAAACATTGCTAAAAGTATATCAAATGAGATCATTATAAGTTTCATGTTTTACCTGGGTAACAGACACGCAACCATAGTCGATTGAAAAAGAAATATAAAAGATTGATATGTGTGAATTTACTATACCTGCGTTCGTTCTTTATTATCTCCATGTAGTCGAAACTTCGCGCGTAAAATCCATCATCCGTTATGGCGCCCCAAAAGTTACTCCATGCTTTGTACGGTCGAATGAGTAAGGGTGCGACAATTCCTCTCTGTTGCTCCACCAGTAATTTCAATGTGTGTTCATTGTCCAAGTGCGCGACCGCGTCAACTGACAGATATCCGGAACACTCCTTCAACAAGCAATGCTCCCTGTGAAGTAGATGGCTTTTTAATATTCCTAATAAATGCTTTAATATTGAAAAATAATAAACACTAACATTTCTCTAATTTAATTTATTAATTTCTTAATTTATTTATCAATTTCTTAATTTATTTATTAATTTATTAATTTCTCTAATTTAATTCATTCAATTCTTTAAATAAATACTAATATATATACCGGGTGTTTCAGACCACCCGTACACCCCATTTTAAAGCAAAGGAAGTGGTTATTTTGAAAAATGTTTCAGACAAAAGTTGTTGAAGATAAAGTAATGCATTACATGGGTAAATTTGATTGACCTTGGGTGGCGTCGTGAAGGTCATGTCAAGGTCGACTTGAATTTTTTAAATGGGAACCCCTATTTTTCATTGCATATTCTTGTAGCTTATCTCGAGAGCTTTCCAAAACACTATAATTAAGTACCTTTTTATTAAGTACTTTTTGAGTTATAAGGCTTGAAATAATTTCTTAATTTTATATAAACCATAAAATATCTAGTAAACCATTCATTTTTCGATTATCTTACCTTCATACTTTTATGTACAAAATAATGAGAGGAATCAATTGGTGTAAAGAAAACACATAGTTGTTTCTAAGAAAAAATATGGAATTGTTAATTGCAAATTACATATTTTTTCTTAGAAACAACTATGTGTTTTCTTTACACCAATTGATTCCTCTCATTATTTTGTACATAAAAGTATGAAGGTAAGATAATCGAAAAATGAATGGTTTACTAGATATTTTATGGTTTATATAAAATTAAGAAATTATTTCAAGCCTTATAACTCAAAAAGTACTTAATAAAAAGGTACTTAATTATAGTGTTTTGGAAAGCTCTCGAGATAAGCTACAAGAATATGCAATGAAAAATAGGGGTTCCCATTTAAAAAATTCAAGTCGACCTTGACATGACCTTCACGACGCCACCCAAGGTCAATCAAATTTACCCATGTAATGCATTACTTTATCTTCAACAACTTTTGTCTGAAACATTTTTCAAAATAACCACTTCCTTTGCTTTAAAATGGGGTGTACGGGTGGTCTGAAACACCCGGTATATATATATATATATATATATATATATATATATATATATATATACATATAAAATATATAAATATATTATATAAATATATAATATATAAAATATATATATACATAAAATATATATTATACAAATATATAAATATATAATATATAAAATATATATATATATATATATATATATATATATATATATTATAAAATCATTCTCTTTACACTTACAATGCTAATTTTCTCGCATCAACTTCGCTGATTTCATCGCTCGGTAATATTTGTTTCCCGCTCAAGTACTCGCGACTGGTCTTCTCGAAGAAGTTATAGATCACGCTCTCGTGATAAGGCACATTGTTGTGAATAAACAAATGTAGTCTTGACTTTGGGTAGGCTTGACGATGGATAGCTTGAAAGAATTCTTCCAAAAACGGTGTAGGCTGTTCGATAAAAATGGCTATTAAAATAATCGGATATGTTTCCGGCTTAGTTTTGTCGAGCTCGATGGTTCGGTCCCAGCAGGCCAAACATCCCTCATTTGCCGTCCAAGCACGAGCCAGATAATTGCCCAAGGAATTTAAGACCAGCTTGCTGAATCCATTGCCATGGAGTATTAAAGGCACCGTGTTGTAAACGATGTTTTGAACATAAGCTTCTTCTCCTTTAAATCTGAGCTCCACATCGGCTGTAAAAATTATACGATAATAGTAATAATTACATTATAATTAATATTACGCGATGCTTTTTCGGATTTGCGTTTGTCCTTACCTACCGCACCGAAGAGATTCTGGAATATCTCGGATTTGTGATCCAGCTTGATCTTATGTCGCGTCCTAAGCTCATCCTGTAGATAGACGGTTGTGTAAAATAACTGATCGTCGTCTTCATCCTTGATGTCCGCCTTGTCCAGGATCTCGTACACATCGGACGCGTATCCGATGAAACCCCCAGAGTTCAAGTATCGTTTGCCTCCAGATACGGTTGGATAATGAATCGCCAAGGATCTATCTGGCCAACAATACACTTCCGCAGAGAATAAGACTCGAGCATCGGTATCCAGGAACCGTTCGACGATGGCAGATAAACCGCCGAGAAATATCACATCGTAACTGAAAGTATAGAAAATATGTATATATACACAGAGAAAAATATCATTCTACTGTCAAGAAAAACGATTACTTAGTTTATTTTTCTTTTTTAATAGTTTTGTTCAACAAAAAATATATTCTTTATAAAAGTCTTAAAATATACTCATCACAAGTGTTAGAAAATCTCATTATCATGTACTCAAAAGAAGAATTTATTTTTTCTTCAAGAATATTGTAAAGTTGTATCGAAGAAAAATCAAACTTACTTTATGTAGTAAGCAAACCAAATTTTTCAACATGATAATTATGAAACGAACGATAAGAGCCTAAAAACGCGGATGGTAATGCGTAAATTTTTTTTTCCCAAACATTAATTGTTCGCGAAAAAAAAAAGAAAAAAAAAATTACGCATTCCGCGTTTTTAGGCTCTTTTCGCTCGTTTCATAATTATCATGTTGTTAAATACATAGAGCCGTATTCTTTATAAATTTATTTTAAACCAAATTTTTGTTTTAATTTAATATTCTTGACTAAAATACTGCAGTTACTAAAATTCAGAATATATTTAATTAAATTTAATGCTTGTGATGAATTTATGATATATTTGCGGTATATCCACAAACTTATAATATACTTAAAATAAATAATATTTACTTGAATACAGTATACATTTTTCTCTGTGTATATGTATGTACACAGAGTAAAATATTCTACTGCCAAGAAAAACGATTACTTAGTTTATTTTTCTTTTTTTAAGTAATAGTTTTGTTCAACAAAGAATATATTCTTTATAAAAGTCTTAAAATATATTCATCACAAGTGTTAGAAAATCTCATTATCATGTACTCAAAAGAAGAATTTATTTTGTCTTTAAGAATATTGTAAAGTTGTATCAAAAATCAAACTTACTTTATGTGGTAAGCAAACCAAATTTTTGTTTTAATTTAATATTCTTGACTAAAATGCTGCAGTTACTAAAATTCAGAATATATTTAATTAAATTTAATGCTTGTGATGAACTTGTGATATATTTGCGGATATACAAACTTATGATATACTTAAAATGAAATAAGTAATATTTACTTGAATACAGTATACATTTTTCTCTGTATATTCTCTATATCTTAAAAAATGTTTCCGCGACATGATGTACCTATCAGTGAACAAGACGATCTTCTTTTCATCATTCTGATAATCCTCTAAAGCCTTTTTCAGAAGATTGATTTTGTATCCACCGCCGGCATAAGTCATAACATTACCGCCTCGCCAAGGCTCACCCAACCCGAGAATCCTCAATTTATCGCGAAATTTGTAGACTTCAACTGATCTCAGGTATCTTTGAAAGCCATCCGTCTCGTTGGATGCGACAGTAAATACCAGGACATCTGAAATATAATAATTAGCAAAATTAGCGTAACGGAAAAAAGAAATAATAATTGAAAACTTAATCACAAAATTCACATATTTATACTTTTTTTTTCCAAGAAAAGCCTGAAAAATAAATGGCAAAATTTTCATTTAGGGAAAAAAAAATTTGGGGATCAATCGACGATGCTAAAAAGTTAAAAGGATCCTTGTCCAACATTGAGAGCAAATTTTATATATCGATTCCGTCATTGGTACCCAGCCGATCAACTCGTTAGCATCGCGTATCAAGCTTGTGATGTCACGTCGAGAAGTAGCGCCCACGAGAACCGCAGCACGTATACCGGCTGCATTTCCACTCTGCTTGTATTACTGAGCCGTCAATATTCTCTTACGCAAGCTGTTCTCGGGATATTCTTAGAACAGGCGATTTCGAATGTTCATGGAAATTCGAGGGGAAAGACGCCTTTAGGACTTTCTTAAGCGATTGAAGGATATTGAAATGTTATACATTTTATTGAACAATTTATGAGAAAATTGTATATAAAAGCTCGTGAAATATATGTACACAGAAAAAAATAAGTGTCAAATCGAAACTTATATACTTAAACCAACGTGTTCATTGTTTCATGTATACGCAACAATTTATAATCTTCTTAGGAGAATTTAATAATTTTAAATTTCTATTTAAATTATTAATAATTAAATTTTAAATAACTTTATAATTAAATAAACTTTAAATTTTAAATAATTAAATTTCAATATTATAGTCTTACTTTAATATTGTAATTGTCATCTCGAGAATATATAATTATTTAATTCTGCTTTAAGAAAATTATAATCTTTGATTTAAAAATATCATTTTTTATCTAACATTGTTACTTTTCCATTCAAAAAAATTAATCTTAAATCATAAGAATATATTTTTCTTGAATTGAACTGTATAAAATGGCTTCATTCAAATAAGCAATTATATTTTTCTTTAATTAACGCAATCTCATTTCAACATTTACATGTGAAAACTAAATATATTTTCAAAACAAGAATGTCCTTTTTTCTGTGTACATATATTATGTAACATATTAATGATAGGAGATATATTAATCCAGAAGTTAAATATAAAAGGAGCGATTAGCGTTAATCACTGAATTATAAAAAAATAATCATGGAATGAAGAAATTTCGAAATCTCGCGTTTCTATTCGTGTGATGAGCAACAACGGAAATGAAATGATAAGGACACACTCGATCCGGTTAAATGTTGATTAAGAAAATGGAGTCGTATTAAATTATATAGTTCACGTTCCATAAATGAAACGATTATGTCATGCTGCTATATGTCGCTTGATCATCGTAGAAAATCGAATGATGAATTATCGCTGGATAAATTCCAGCCTTCATTTTACCATATAAAGAACATCACTGCAATAAAAATGAAGAACCACATTATATAATCATTTAAGCAACAAGTCCGATTGCAAGAAGAAATATTTCACTTTAGATAGCCTTTATGGCCTTATCTCTAGCATTCTTCGAATTTATATTTATTAGCGAGAAAAATTGTCGAAAAATTAATCAGATATACGAGACAAATTGTAAGATTTTTTTCGTATACTTGAAATATTAATAATTCTTACACTGAGGAAAAAATTATCTTAAAATAAAAAAATTTTAGTTAACTCAAGAAAGCTATTTATTCGGTGGGTACTAATCACGTATTTACTTGTATTCAAAACGTCTGTTTACTTAAGTTAAGTATTTATTTACATATGTTTAAAAATACAGGGTGTCCCATTTTAATCGATGACCCCGAATAACTTTTTTAATTTTGATTGTAGGAAAAAATGTTTTAGACAAAAGTTGTATGGCTTGAAGGGGGACATAAGATGGTGTCTTTAGTTTGACATTGAAGAGTCACCTAAAGGTCCAACTTTTTAAATGGGACACCCTGTATGCTTTTGCATATATTTTTTTAGTTCATCTCGAAAGCTTTCCAAAACACTATAATTAAGTTAGTTTTCATTAAGTACTTTGCGAGTTATGAGGCTTGAAATAATATCTTAATTTTACATAAACCGTAAAATATTTAGTAAAATATTTATTTTTCGATTATCCTACCTTAATACTTTTATGTACAAAATAATGAGAAGAATCAATTGGTGTAAAGGAAAAACACAGTTGTTTTTAAGAAAAAATATGGAATTGTTAATTGCAAATTACATATTTTTCCTTCGAAATAATTATGTGTTTTCTTTACAGCAATTGATTCCTCTCATTATTTTGTACATAAAAGTATTAAGGTAGGATAATCGAAAAATAAATATTTTACTAGATATTTTATGATTTATGTAAAATTAAGAAATGATTTCAAGCCTCATAACTCGAAAAGTATTCAATGAAGAAATACTTTATTATAGTGTTTTGAAAAGCTCTCGAGATAAGTTACAAGAATAAGTAATAAAAAATAGGGGGTTCCATTAAAAAAATTGAAGATGGCCTTCATGTGACCTTCAAACAACTTTTCAAGATAAAACCAATGATACCATCTTATGTCCCCCTTCAAGCCATACAACTTTTGTCTGAAACATTTTTTCTTACAATCAAAATTAAAAAAGTTATTCGGGGTCATCGATTAAAATGGGACACCCTGTATATATTCTTAAAAAAATATAATTTTTATAATTAAATATTTTTATTTTAATTTTACAAAATATTTATTAAAATGCATTTTTTATTCCCAAAAATTTTAAATTTTTTATTTAAAAAAAATAATATATTTAATTTCATAAATAATAGTGTATATTTTACGAAAATGGTATTTAAATATAAAAAATATATAAATGAAAATAATGTACTTAATATAACATGCATATTTAATTAAAATTAAATGCTTTTGCTTAAATGAAATAAACAATTCCTTGCATTTAAAGCAAAAGTTTCAAGAAAACAAATTTATTTGATTTAAAAAAATTTTTCCCTCAGTGTGTGCTATAGAAAATAATCCGAAAACAATCTGTAACGTTGCAAGTAAAATAAATTAATTCAGATATTTCTCCTCGAGGAGGAAAAAGAGCTGAAACTTATCGTCAACCGAACCAAAACGAGTCAATGAACGTCGACTTTCGCTGTCATCTTTTCCCACTAATATCATCAAGAAAAATTAATTATATATTATTAACTCTCTGTCGCATCATTTTGTGGCACATCTTTCAACAATATCTTGATTGTGACTAAAATGAAATCTTTTAAAGCGGGCATCTCATCGAGAATCAACGCTGGTGGATATCGAAATGCTTTTGTATATTCGTTGTAGAAAAACAAAGGAAATAAAAGAGATCATAAAAAAATAAAGAGAGAGAATTCCGTCTTTTTTTCATTATAAATCATTTTAATTCAATAAAAAAATTTCGGACATGATAATCCTTCATAAGATGCATCTCCTTTTCTTATTAATAGTTTAATATATTTTTAAAAGTTATATCCTTATGAATTAATCAATAATTTCTTATCAAATGGATAATTATAATATATTATATTTCTTATTAATTAGATGATTAACGTAAATGGACCTGTTTTTTAATGCATTTTCTTTCTCAATTCTTCTCTTATCTGTAACATTTTTTACGTATATATCTCATTTTGAGGGGAAAATTGCACACTACAATGCTGCAGAAAAGAAATGGATTAATGAATTATCTAAATTCTAAATCAATAAAATTTTAAATCTCCCCTGGAATAAAAATATTAGGAAAGAAATCGCCCCTCGTGTTTTAATAGTTCCAAACGTGAAGAAAAAAATGAACGAAAAAAATCGACGAAGCTGACGTTTCTCTCTCTTTCTTTCTGTATCGATCTTCTTGTTCGCCGAAAGGGCAATCTTGACGTACCGTTAGCGTCAGCTGCTGGAGCCTCGCTGACCACGTGGTATGTCAGGAAGACACAGCACCACGCGAGGTAGCATCCGATTGTCGTCCCTTTGTCGCCAAACATCTCTCCCTCTCTTTCTCTCTCTTTCTTTCACTGACCGACCCGGGATCCCGCTGATGCACACCACTTCTCGATAACGCGCGTCCGCGTTCGTCGCTTAGCGCCGACTGCGCATCACGAGTGCGGAAATTGATGAAAACCATCGGGCAGAGTCGTAATCAGGAATTACGGCACCCCGTACGTAGAACGTGATTTTCGATGCGACAGGGATGTGAAAATTTTATATACGTGGAAGCTCGGAGAAATCTAGAAATTCGACAGCTCTTAAGCAACTTGTGGTCAGTCTCATATTTTAAGACAAGATCTCTAAAAGAGTAAACGAAATTTACAAAGACTACGGGAATCCTGAGATAGTTGTTACTTTTATTAATACCGCCATAGCTAGAACCAACCAATCACCAACTTCCTTTTACTCAATCGATAAAATAAGAAATATCACTTGTCGCAATTATTGTTTAAATAAAAGTTAAATATATGTAATAAATTAAATTATTAGTAATTTGTGAATATAAAAAAGTTAAATATTAGAATGTAAAAAATTGAAACTCAATAATAAAAAATATCAAGCATCTATATTTTATTGTAAAAATTATCTTTTTACTCAATTAATAAGATGAAACAAAATATTTATATTTATTATATATATCGATAAAATAAGAAATATCACTTGTCACAATTATTGTTTAAAAAAAAGTTAAATATATGTAATAAATTAAATTATTAGTAATTTGTGAATATAAAAAAGTTAAATATTAGAATGTAAAAAATTGAAACTCAATAATAAAAAATATCAAGCATCTATATTTTATTGTAAAAATTATCTTTTTACTCAATTAATAAGATGAAACAAAATATTTATATTTATTACATATATCGATAAAATAAGAAATATCACTTGTCACAATTATTGTTTAAAAAAAAGTTAAATATATGTAATAAATTAAATTATTAGTAATTTGTGAATATAAAAAAGTTAAATATTAGAATATAAAAAATTGAAACTCAATAATAAATGAGAAAAATATCAAGCATCTTTTATAGTAAAAATTATTTTATTTTTACTAGTATTATTTTATTTTTATAGTAAAAATAAAATATTATTAAATATATTAAATATATTAATAAAATATTATAATAAAATATTATTAAATATATTAAATATATTATTAAAATATTATTTTATTTTTATAGTAAAAATAAAATAATTTTTACTATAAAAGATGCTTGATATTTTTCTCATTTATTATTGAGTTTCAATTTTTTACATTCTAATATTTTATAGTAAAAATTATTTTATAGTAAAAATTATTTTATTTTTACTATAAAACTCAATTAATAAAATAAAATAAAATATTTATATTTATTACATATATCGATAAAATAAGAAATATCACTTGTCACAATTATTGTTTAAAAGAAAGTTAAATATATGTAATAAATTAAATTATTAGTATTTGGGAATATAAAAAAGTTAAATATTAGAATGTGAAAAATTGAAACTCAATAATAAATGAGAAAAATATCAAGCATCTACATTTCATAGTAAAAATTATTTTATTTTTACTCAATTAATAAAATAAAATAAAATATTTATATTTATTACATATATAAAATGGAATTTCCTAAAATTTTAATGGGCATGTTGTGGGCACTTTGAAAAAATGAAATTCTGACTACAATTAATGAAGCAAATATTAGAGATAAGATACCTGTCAAATCGAAATTTGATGTGCAAGATTCCTTCGTAGGTCTGTATCGCTCAATGACGGATAAATCATTATCCAAAGTATTGTCCTGGCATCGGAGATCATTCGAAGGCACATAAACATTATAATATAACTTGCACGCTTCTTCATTTTTTGCTGTAGGACGACTTCCTTGATACAAAAGCACAACAATCGACAGCGTTAATCTTCTCGAGACACTCAGTGCTCTCATCTTATCAAAACTGTTATCACATGCGCTGGAAAATATCTTCGTAACGTTTTATATAATTGCCTTTATTGAGAATTGGAATTGTTATTTTACTGTGCCATCTCAACAATTGTTTGATTTATATATTTTGCATATTCCTTCAATATTCGTATTGAAATATTTATAAATTAAATAATAAATTTATATCGTTTTCTTCGAATATATTATGATTCGAATATGCGCTTATCCGGCATCGATCGCTCTCCGATGAATCGCGCAGATCGGTATCAAAATTCGGGCATTTATAGGAGAAAGCGGGAAACTCGAAAGCGAGACGGCTGATGGTTTTTGTGGTCGAAAAGAACGGCTAATCGTACGATCGAATCGATTTCCTATTCCCAGACGAATATGTCATCATCGGTCCGTGACGTTTTGTAATGAAATGTGAACGAAACATTCCAGTCCGTGATTTGATCTGTGGACAACACACATTTACATATCAGCATTAAATGATTATCTTTAATTAACTTTCTTTCTTTGGTAAAGATAAAGAAGCTTGCATTTTATACAATTTTTTGTACCAGTTTCATTTTATACTCCGAGAAGTGTCTGTATTTTTGAAAAAGAAAAATAACATATACAGGGTAGGCCATTTTAATCTACGCAATATTTGAAATATTTCAAAATTCATAAGTTTAAGACAAAAATGTTTCCGACAAAAGTTGTATAGCTTGAAGAGGGACATAAGATGGTGCCATTAATTTGACCTTGAAGAGTCACCTGAAGGTCACGTGAAGGTTACCTCCAACTTTTTAAATGGGACACCCTATATACTTTCGCACATTCTTGTAGCTTGCCTCAAGAGCTTTCCAAAACACTATAATAAAGTATTTTTTCATTGAATACTTTTCGAGTTATGAGGCTTAAAGTAATATCTTAATTTTACATAGACCATAAAATATCTAGTAAAATATTCATTTTTCGATTATCTTTCCTTAATACTTTTATGTACAAAATAATGAGAGAAATCAATTGGTGTAAAGAAAACACATAATTGTTTTGAAAAAAAATGTAATTGTTAATTGCAAATTACATTTTTTTTTCGAAACAACTGTGTTTTCTTTACACCAATTGATTCTTCTCATTATTTTGTACATAAAAGTATTAAGGTAAGATAATAAAAAAATAAATATTTTATTAGATATTTTATAGTTTATGTAAAATTAAAAAATTATTTCAAGCCTCATAACTTGGAAAGTTCTCAATGGAAAAATACTTTATTATAGTGTTTTGGAAAGCTCTTGAGGCAAACTACATGAATATGTAAAAGTATGTAAAGTATTCCATTTAAAATGTTGGAGGTGGCCTTCCCATGACCTTCAGGTGACTCTTCAAGATCAAACTAATGGCACCATCTTATGTTCCCCTTCAAGCCATACAACTTTTGTCTGAAATATTTTTCGATTTAATGCAGTGTTTCTGAGATATTCGTGTATTGATTAAAATAATCTATCCTGTATACAAATATATGTTTTCTTTGAAAAGTGTCAATATATATGTATAATAGATAATTAAATTATGCGAACGAGTCGAGCTAATGCTCGAACAAATCGAATTAACCGACGACTTAATACAATTACTGGGGCAACAGAGTGGACGATCCTGAGGTTTCCTCTGTATGTTGTTGAAAATTGTTGAGCAGTTTTCGCATGTCGATCGTCGGTGGTGTCTAGTTTCCTTTTGTTTCTAAACGCTGATAAAGACAGTCTCGTATATAAACAGATAAAAATGGGCAAAGAAGACGCAGAAACTGTAGCCCTAAAGAAAGAGTTGGAAGATCTCATTAACAAGTGCAAGGTTTAAGCGTTTTATGTTACATCACAGTTATAATTTTTAGTATAGTAAGACTTTTCGATATAATTCTATCTTTATTCGCTTTACCTCTTTATTTTATTCGCTTCATTAGGAAGAGCAAAAGAAGCAGCAGGATACGACGTTGGAACAAGCGTGCAACGGAGTGGCGGCTGCTCCGAAAGTTAGATTGACGACTAAGAGATTGCTGAAGGGACACATTAATAAAGTCAATTCGGTGCATTACAGCGGCGATAATCGGTTAGTTCGACTTAATAAAGCGTGCTTTACACGATCTATAATTCGTCGCATATCCCAATATATTTTTGACGTTTTACTCTTTCGAATATTTTTTATACAAGGCACATAAAATTATAAATAGAATACGAATTTTGCTGTCAATTATATGGATCATCTAAAGCAGATTTTACGATTTCTCAATCGCGAAACTTATTTTTCTTTTTATCGTACGTCGACAATTTTTTTTTATAAGTTCTAATAATCTTCAGTATTGAGAAAATAGATTTACGAAAATTGATTTATGCTTTCGTACGTAGGCATTGCGTGACCGGTTCGTTGGATGGAAAGTTGATCATCTGGGATTCATGGAGCGGTAACAAGGTACAGGTCATCCCGTTGCGTTCAGCCTGGGTGATGTCGGTGGCTTTCGCGCAGTCCGGCAACTTCGTTGCGTGCGGTGGTATGGACAACATGTGCACCGTTTATGATGTGAACAATCGCGATGCTACGGGATCCGCCAAGATTGTAAGGGAACTGCTGGGATATGAAGGATTCCTATCGTCCTGCAGATTCCTCGACGATAAGAAGATCATTACCGGGTCCGGTGACATGAAAATGTATCTGTTAATAACGTTGAGGATAGATAGTCAATACAGGGTGTTCCATTTTAATCGATCACCTTGAATAACTTTTTCAATTTTGATTGTAGAAAAAAATGTTTCAGACAAAAGTTGTATGGTTTTAAGGGGCACATAAGACGGTGCCATTAGTTTGATCTCGAAGAGTTACCTGAAGATCAACTCCAACTTTTTAAATGGGACACCCTACGTGCTTTTACATATTCTTGCAGCTCATCTCGAGAGTTTTCCAAAACACTATAATAAAATATTTTTTCATTGAGTACTTTCCGAGTTATGGAACGTGAAATCATTTCTTAATTTTATACATAAACCATAAAAAAATATCTAGAAAAATATTCATTTTTCGATTATCTTATCTTAATCCTTTTATGTACAAAATAATGAGAGGAATCAATTGGTATAAAGAAAACTTATAATTTCGAAGAAAAAATGTGTAATTTGCAATTAACAATTACATATTTTTTCTTAAAAGTAACTATGTGTTTTCTTTACATCAATTGATTCCTCTCATTATTTTCTATATAAGTATATTTTCTATATAAGTATATTTTCTATTTTTTATATAAGTATATTTTCTTCATAAGTATACATAAGTTCTACATAAAAGTATTAAGATAATCGAAAAATGAATATTTTACAAGATATTTTAGATACGGTTTACGTAAAATTAAGAAATATTTTCAAGCCTCATAACTCGGAAAGCACTCAATAGAAAAATACTTTATTATAGTGATTCACGTGATCTTCAGGTGACTCTTCAAGATCAAACTAATGGTACCGTCTTATGTGCCCCTTAAAGCCATACAATTTTTTCCCGAAATATTTTTTTCTACATCAAAATTAAAAAAGTTATTCAAGGTGATATAAGTTATGAAAGGTAAAATGGGTTCACCCTGTATTTTAGGAGCAATGATGAATACCTTGTGTGTGTCTCTAGTTGTATATGGGATCTCGAGGCTAACAAGAAGACGACGGACTTCGAGGCGCATGCAGGCGACGTGGTGAGCATTAGCTTGTCTCCCGATGGCAACACTTATGTCACCGGCTCGGTTGACAAAACTTGCAAACTGTGGGATCTACGGGAGGAGAAAGCCAAGCAAACGTTCATCGGTCATGATGCTGACGTAAACTCCGTCTGCGTAAGTAGACTTTCAAGATTTGCATTTGAGATATTTCAGCAGAGGATTATACATTGTTTTGTTCATTTAGTATCATCCTTCCGGGCAAGGCTTCGTGACAGCGTCCGAGGATAAAACGGCGAGACTATGGGACTTTAGATCCGATCAGCAGTTGGCCACCTTCAAGCCGCCGAACTCCAACCCCGGATTTACATCATGCGGCTTGTCTCTAAGCGGCAGGTTCATCTTCTGCGGCAGTGATGATAATTCCATTCACATATGGGATACATTGAAGAATCAACATAATGGTAAATCCATCGATTCGTGTCTTGTACTGAAGAACTGTATTTTTATAATGCAAAAATTAATAATTATATCGATAAAATATATCCGCGAAGATATACAGGGTGTCCCAAAAGTCCCGGACCGGTCGAATATTTCATAAACTATGCACTTTAGAAAGAAATGTTTCAGACAAAAGTATGGCTTGTATGGCTCGAAGGGGGCCATCAGATAGTGGCAATGATTTGACCTTGGAGAGTCATTTGAAGATGATGTAAAGGTCACCTTTAATTTCTTAAATGGAATCCCCTATTTTTTATTACATATTCGTGTAGCTTATCTCGAGAGCTTTCCAACACTATAATAAAGTATTTTTTCATTGAGTACTTTTCGAGTTATGAGGCTTGAAATCATTTCTTAATTTTGCATAAACCATAAAATATCTAGTAAAATATTCATTTTTTATCTAAAATATTCATTTTTATCTTACCTTAATATTTTTATGTACAAAATAATGGACATTATGTACGAAATAATGGAGAGGAATCAATGGGTGTAAAGAAAAAACATAGTTGTTTAAGAAAAAAATATGTAATTTGCAATTAACAATTATATATATATATATATATATATATATATATATATATATATTTTTTTTTTAAAACAACTATGTGTTTTCTTTACACCAATTGATTCCTCTCATTATTTTGTACATAAAAGTATTAAGGTAAGATAATCGAAAAAAGAATATTTTACAAGATGTTTTACGATTTATGTAAAATTAAGAAATGATTTCAAGCCTCATAATTCGGAAAGTACTTAATGAAAACTAACTTAATTATAGTGTTTTGGAAAGCTCTCGACGTGAGCTACCAGAATATTTAATAAAAAATAGGAAGTTCCATTTAAGAAATTGACGGTGATCTTCACGTGACTTTCAAATGACTCTCCCATGTCAAATCATTGCCGCTATCTGATGGACCCCTTCAAGCCATACAACTTTTGTCTGAAACATTTCTTTCTAAAGTGCAAAGTTTATGAAATATTAGACCGGTCCGGGACAACCTGTATAAAATTTTCGTTGCATCTTGTATCAATCACATTTTCGGACGTTTTTAAAATTCTCCTCCTTGTTACTTTTAAAAATGCTTGTTCTTGTTTCAAGGTGTTTTGTCGGGCCACGAGAACAGAGTGACGTCGCTCAGTGTCACTGACAATGGGATGGCAGTGGCCAGTTGCTCCTGGGATCAGAACGTCCGAATTTGGGTGTGAACAGTAACAAGTGATTACACACAAGTGATCGATGAGAAGACACCGGAGGAAATATATTACCAAAAATATATTGATGTTAAAAAAGCCGATCGATTCTTCTTGCACGAAACCTGCACAGTCCCTGATTGAATTAAGCTCTTACCAATATAAACTGCTTCTTTCATTTAGTTTACAATTACGTGATAATCAATAGTTCGATCTACGTAAACTGCGTTTCGCAACTTGCACCCATCGTTAAACTAAACTTTACAAAATATATAAAATTTCTTCGAAATAATGATTTCCCGGATCCATTTTACATGTCGGAAATAAATCTTCATTTCATAAACAATTACATTAATATTATCTTTCTTATCAGCAGTGTAGCTTACGAACGTATGTTTGTGCGTGATATTCAATAATTTTACTTTAAAGTAAATTTCCTTATCAACTTTAAAGATGAAAATTATTTAATCCAATCAATTAATTAAGTGGGAATTAATTAATATAATTAATTCGTAAGCTACACGTTTGACTGGCAATGCGAGTTGCATTTGCATCGTTTATTTCTATAGCATGGACATAATACACTATTCGTTTTTTCCTATTGATGCTGCAGAAGAGTGCGTTAAAAAAATCGTATCGCGCGTGTTTTAAGATTTACTTACTAATGCAATACAATAAGGATTTGGTACATCGATTAGGCGATAAAGCGATCGATTAGCGTCAAAAATACTTGTGTTCTCTTCTCGGCGAATCTGATCGTCGCCACGGTGATATCATATATCATTTATGCTATTTGTTCTCGTGAGCATCAATCTAGGCCAGTCTAGCGACAAATACAGGGTGGATCAAAAGTCGAATATCTTGTATAGAATGCATTTTAGAACAAAATGCTTTAGACAAAAGTTGTAAGGATTAAAAAGATATATTTAACTGTGATATCCATTTGACATTGAGTGGCGTCGCCAAGGTCAACTTGAATTTTTTAAATGAACACCTCTATTTTTCATTGCATATTCTTGTAGCTCATCTTGAGAGCTTTCTAAAACACTCGAATGAAATATTTTTCCCTCAAGCACTTTTTGAGTTATAAGGCTTGAAATCATTTCTTAATTTTACATAAACCGTAAAATATTCATTTTTTGATTATCTTACCTTAATACTTTTATGTAGAAAATAATGAGAGGAATCAATTGGTGTAAAGAAAACACATAGTTATTTCGAAGAAAAAATATGTAATTTGCAATTAACAATTAAATATTTTTTCTTAAAAGTAACTATGTGTTTTCTTTACACCAATTGATTCCTCTCATTATTTTGTACATAAAAGTATTAAGATAAAATAATCGAAAAATTAATATTTTACAAGATAGTTTACGATTTATGTAAAATTAAGAAATGATTTCAAGCCTTATAACTCAAAAAGTACTTGAGAGAAAAATAATTTATTATAGTGTTTTGGAAAGCTCTCGAGATAAGCTATAAGAATATGCAATGAAAAATAGAGGGTTCCATTAAAAAAATTCAAGTTGATCTTCCCCTGATCTTGGCGACGCCACTCAATGTCAAATGGATATCACAGTTAAATACATCTTTTTAATCCTTACAACTTTTGTCTAAAGCATTTTGTTTTAAAATGCATTCTATATTCGATTGTATCCAGACTTTTGGTCCACCCTGTACACGGGACGCGTGTGTTAAAGTGTTTCAAACTTATACAAGGTCCTTTATGGTGCGTCACAAAATTGCCATAGCTATCCAGCGAATTCGTGGAGAATCTTTTTCTAGTCGAAGCTCGCGTTGTATTCTATATATATAAATAAACGAATGTAAACTCTCTATTACACAATTATCTGTACTGTACATAATAAACGTTACAACATTAAAGGAAATGCTCTAAAGCTTCGATTAATCTCTATTATACGAATCATGATGACACAATTCTTAAATGGCTGCACGAGGAAAACTTACGCGGTGTCTAACATAAATATACGATGCGATTTCGACGGAATTGAAATATCAATCACAAGACTGTCTCTCAACATAGTCGGCACATTGTACATATGTACAATCACTCACGGTCTGTTGCTCGATGCAAATCGATGTAATGATACTTAAGTCCATGAAAACACTTTCGAGACAGACACGAATTAGAATCCATCTAAATGAACGAGCAGGGCAACGATCACTGTGGCTCCGGCTTCTTTGGTGGCCCATTTGCTGGATTCGCAGTGCAAATCGGTGCTGTCCTTGTCGCCGGGACTAATCGTATACGAGCCTGGTCTTACCAGTAATTGGAACGCAGTTGATACGTTCAATTTTTTATTGGATTGCATATCGATATACCTAGGTACAAGATTGACAGGATTAAATTATATTTTTAATTTATGATATAAAAAAGAACGCACATCTCTTACATAAACAAGCTACTTACGGATATTTTCTAGTAAATTCGTCGGACGCAGCGCATTTGATACTGGGCGAGAACGATACCTGCAAGTTCTGATCTTCACTTTTTATACCCGCTGTCAGGTTGCTTACGTCTAATTGCTCTTTGGTCATAAGCTCTCCTCTATCTAGGATCAATCTATACATGTGTCACGTTTAAATTAATGTGAAAAATAATATATAATATACAAGGTAGACCATTTTAATCAATACACGCGAATATCTCAGAAACACTGCATTAAATCGAAAAATGTTTCAGATATAAGTTGTATGGCTTGAAGGGGGACATGAGGTGGTACCATTGGTTTGATCTTGAATGGTTGTCAAGGTCAGGGCAAGGTTATCTTCGATTTTTTAAATGAAACTTCCTATTTTTTATTACATATTCTTCTAGCTTATCTCGAGGACTTTCTAAAACACTATAATAAAGTATTTTTCTATTGAGTGCTTTCCGAGTTATGAGGCTTGAAGTCATTTCTGAATTTTACATAAACCGTAAAATGTCTTGTAAAATATTCATTTTTCGATTATCTTACCTTAATACTTTTATGTATAAAATAATGGGAGTAATCAATTGATGTAAAGAAAACATACAATTGCTTTTATGAAAAAATATAGAATTGTTAATTGCAAATTACATATTTTTTCTTTGAAACAACTATGTGTTTTCTTTACACCAATTGATTCCTCTCATTATTTTGTACATAAAAGTATTAAGGTAAGATAATTGAAAAATGAATATCTTGATCTAGATATTTTACGGTTTATGTAAAATTAAGATATTATTTTTACATTTAAGATTATTATTTTAAGCCTCATAACTCGAAAAGTACTCAATGAAAAAATACTTTATTATAGTGTTTTGGAAAGCTCTTGAGGCAAGCTACAAAACTATGTAAAAGTATATAGAGTGTCCCGTTTAAAAAGTTGGAGGTGACCTTCACGTGACCTTCAGATAACTCTTCGAGGTAAAATTAATGGCACCATCTTATGTCCCCCTTCAAGCCATACAACTTATATATGAAACATTTTTCCATTTAATGCAGTGTTTTTGAGATATTCGCATGTATTGATTAAAACACCCTGTGTATATAATCGAAAAAAGTCAAAATTATATTCATATTACCTTATCGCATCTAGTCGTATGCCGTAGAACGCAACGTGCCACTTGTCTGTCGTACTCTGTGGGATCTGATTGGCGTTAATGCTTTGCTTCAACGGGAACCTAGCCCAGCCAACCGGTATCGCGAACTCTGCTGGTGGTTCACCCTTCTTGCAGATCGTGTTATCACCGTCCACCTTGTAACACGCGCTACAGTAGCACAATATCTCATCGGTGGAGAAAAATTCATCCGGCAAAACAAGCGACTTTTTTAGCTGCATACACGCCTTCAGATAGTCGCACTTCCTCGAGGATGCAACGACAGTAGAGCCAAGTGGAGTGGACGGTAACGACGGCATCAGCGGTATCGAGGCGTCTCGCGTTTGATGAATCATCGGGTTCTGGCTCGGAAGTATATTCCCGTTGAAGATCGAGTTGTCGCGGATCAACGCAATATTGTCTCGACTTGCGTAGGAGCGCGGTTCGTGAAAGCCCGAACAAACGTTGTTGGGAAGATCCGACAGATTGTTCTGCTGCGTGCTACTATTGACAACCTGACTATTGGACGCTATGCTCTCATTAATCGCATTATTGGCATTCGTCGCCGTGATCGCCGCGTTCAGGCTACTCATGTTACTGGCACTCGCGACCATACCTTTCTGTATATTAATATTAGTCGCGTTGTTTATTTCAACATTTGTACACTCGTTTCTGATACTCAAGACGCTTACAAGAGCGCGATTCCCCGCCGAGTCGAGATTAGACTCGTTCGAGTTGTTTTCAGGCTGATTGTTCAATGGCGTTTGCTGCCCCGCATTATCGAGATACACCCTATTCTTGGCGCTCCGGGCATCATTACTCAACTCCGAACACGAGTCCGAATTATTACTGTCGGCGCTCGATACAGTTTTATTTACTACGCTATTGTTCGCCAGATTCGCGCTGTCGAAAGACGAATATTCAGCTTCGAGGTTGCCGTCCCTGGTACTCGAGCCGCATTGACTTGGTACGCTCGGGGACGTCGAAGACGGCGAGAGATCCGAAGAGGTAGTCGCCATCGCATTTTCTTTCTCGTGACGTTCTAGATCTGCTTTCTCGCGCGAATTCTCTACATCTTCCGCCTCCACGTTTGTGCACTCGATAGGAGCCACGAGTGCATTGTCGATAGCGACGTTCGTGTAGGTAGACTCCTCGTTGACGCCTGCGAGGGACACTTGCTCGCACTGACCGTACAGATCGATCACGGCGAAGACGTAGGGCGGCAGATCGGTAGCGGCCACCCCCTGATCAATGCCGTTGATGAATAAATGCAATCGATTGTCTTCATCGATCAGTAGACCTACGACAGAGTTACACTGAAGATTTTCCAAACCGGCGCCGTACTTTGTTTTTACCCTCATGCCGTTGTGAAATATCCAATCGCTGCAAATGATCCAAGAGTGTCTCTTGAAACCGAGCGCCGTCAACGGGAAGCTCGTCTGCTTTTCCGGCGATATGCAGGAAACGCCGCAGAGAATATTCGACACCCAACGTTCGTTCAGCTTCTCTATCTTGACTTGGAACGGCTTGCCTTTTATTAACGGCCGGCTGGACATCACTACACCCTGATTATAACTGGCTACTCGTTTGGCGATCGTCTTGGTCTCCAGCTGTATATTCCTGCCGTGATTCTCGTGGAACTCGTAGCTCCAATCCCCGTCACCGACAGTCACGTTGGCGATAGCGGGTTGAGTTGGGGTAAGCGTCGCCTCGTTCATTAATTTTCCCTCGGACACGTCGATGGAGGTGTCCATTCCCGCGTCATTTCTCGGTGGCATCGGGTCCAGCAAAAGTTCCAACGAATCTTGCAGCCTCAGACTGGCGTTGGGAGATATCACGGGATTTTGCTGCTTGCTGCTGGTGATGTTCACGGCCACGGTGCTGCCAAATAGCTCGATCACTGCATACACCATCTCCGGTACGTCAGACGCCGCCACGCCCACATCCTCGCCATTCATGTAGAACTTAAGGTTACCCTCAGGTGTACGTTTCACGCCGATTTTATCGTGTACCCGTAACCAATCCAGACTCGTGCAGTAATTCGAGGTGAGCGCGAAACCCATGTGCCTCACCTCGTTACCGGTTAGATACCAAGCATCACTAGGTATGGACGTCATTCCAGGCACAAGGTTCATCGATGTCAACCAGTTCCCTGTCTCGTTACTCAAGACACCCACTCTTAGACAACCGCTCCACTCACGCGCTACTTCTTGAATCGCGATTTCGAACAATTCATTATTTTCCAGCGGCGCGTCGCTCAACAGCACGGCGTTATTGTACTCTCTGCATCTGGTCGCCACGGTTCTATCGCTATTCAGTTGTATATTCAGCCCGACCGATTCGTGAAACTTGTGCAAAATCTCTGTCTGCGCCTGAGGTTGGATCACCGAAGTCGGTTGTTGACTGATACTGTTTTCAGAGGGTAAATATTGTTGTGTCAACGGATCTCTGCGCTCAGGCAATACAATCGTTACCTGAAACAAATCAGTTGGAATCAGTTGCGAAAAAATGTATGATTATTGTCATTACCAAGCGAACATTATTCATGTTATACCTGTGCGCATTGTCCATATAGATCTATTACTGGATAAACGTTCACTGGTAATCCCGTACAAGCGGAACCTTGATCTACTCCATCCAAAAAATAATGTAAGGAAGAGTCCGAGCACCGCATCATTCCGATTCGATTGCCTTCCACTAATTTATCTAAATCGCAAGAGTAATTATTGCGCAACGTAACTCCGTCGCGCATCACCGTCGATCCTGAGAGCATCCACGTGTCGTGATCGATATCCGTCATTGTAGATGGGAATTCCAATTCATCGGGCCTTATCACAGTAACACCTATAGTTTTGTGTCGTCGAGAAATTATATCGATAATTTTTATTATGTTTGATATACAGGGTGGACCAAAAGTCTGGATACAGTCGAATATCTCGTATAGAATGCATCTTAGAACAAAATGCTTTAGACAAAAGTTGTAAGGATTAAAAAGATGTATTTAATTGTGATATCCATTTGACATTGAGTGGCGTCGCCAAGATCAGGGCAAGGTCATCTTGAATTTTTTAAACGGACCCCCCTATTTTTCGTTGCATATTCTTGCAGCTTATCTCGACGGCTTTCCAAAACACTATAATAAATTATTTTTCCTTCAAGTATTTTTTGAGTTATAAGACTTGAAATCATTTCTTAATTTTACATAAATCGTAAACTATCTTGTAAAATATTAATTTTTCGATTATTTTATCTTAATACTTTTATGTACAAAATAATGAGAGGAATCAATTGGTGTAAAGAAAACACATAGTTACTTTTAAGAAAAAATATTTAATTGTTAATTGCAAATTACATATTTTTTCTTCGAAATAACTATGTGTTTTCTTTACACCAATTGATTCCTCTCATTATTTTCTATATAAAAGTATTAAGGTAAGATAATCAAAAAATGAATATTTTACGGTTTATGTAAAATTAAGAAATGATTTCAAGCCTTATAACTCAAAAAGTGCTTGAGGGAAAAATATTTTATTCTAGTGTTTTAGAAAGCTCTCAAGATAAGCTATAAGAATATGCAATGAAAAATAGGGGGTTCCATTTAAAAAATTCAAGTTGACCTTGCCCTGACCTTGGCGACGCCACTCAATGTCAAATGGATATTACAGTTAAATACATATTTTTAATCCTTACAACTTTTGTCTAAAGTATTTTGTTCTAAAATGCATTCTATACGAGATATTCGACTGTATCCAGACTTTTGGTCCACCCTGTATGGTTAGGACAGCAATTACCTGCTTCTATAGCACCAGACCATCTAGCAACCATTTTATCTATCGTCACTTCGAACATTTCACCATCGCGTAACGCGCGATTCGCAATTACAATAGCTTCGTTGAATTCACCCAGAGCTCGCGGTCTGGACGCTGTTAAACCATTATTCGTGATCCTCGCATTTTTACCATGTACATGATGAAACCTTAGATCGCTGTCAACAGATTTGCACAATCATCATCTACGTTCGACGATATAATATCAATAAATCTATAAATCTGTATCTCCAATTCTGGTGGATAATCGCACCTGTACAACGTCGTATTGCTAAAACTGGAATTGTTCGTGGTGGGACTGTAAAAGTCTACATTATCAACTATGGTAGCTTGGGCGGCCTGCCCGTAAAGATCAATCACTCCGTAGACTCTGTCGGGCACATTCATCGCGGCCACACCCTGGTCTGCGCCATTCACGTAAAAGTGTAGCGTCGAATTATCCTTTCTCATCACGCCCACGCGATCACCGATCTGCAGACGGTCCAGATTTTGACCATATTGATCTATCATCGTGGTGCCGTTATGCATCACGCCGTTGCCTGTCATCATCCATGTGCCGGATCTGCAAGCGATATGAGCCACCTTCGAGCAATAACATAAGCGGGTAAACAATTTACCGCGCCCTTCGTAGTTCCTCATGCTTTCGCTTAAAACCGATGCGCACGACCTTACCTACCTAACATTTGTCATGGTAAAAGGAAATTCCAACTCTGTTGGGGAATGCGTGGTAACTCCTATCTCGATAGAACCGGCCCATTTCGTGACGATTTTATCTAATCTGACTTCAAATAATTCATTAGGTTTCAATGGTCTCGAAGTTAATACCACTCCGTTATTGAAATCATCTATGGCACTGAAAAAGATTTATATCTATCGTTAGGAAGAGATTATATGTGATTTTAGAATTTATAAATTTATATACAGAATGTTTCATTTTAATTTCGCCAGGCAAATATTTCGGAAAATAATGAAAAATCGAAAAAATGTTTCAGACAAAAGTTGTATGGTTTCTAGGAGGACATAAGATGGTGCCATTAGTTTGACCTTGAAGAGTCACACCTTGAAGATTACGTGAAGGTCATTTTGAATTTCTTAAATGGAACCCTATATATTTTTGCATATTTTTGTAGTTTTTCTCGAGATCTTTCCAAAACACTATAAATAAACATTTTTTCATCAAGTACTTTTCGAGTTATGAGGCTTGAAATCATTTCTTAATTTTTTACATAAACCATAAAATATCTTGTAAAATATTCATTTTTCGATTATTTTACCTTAATACTGTAATGTACAAAATAATGAGAGGAATCAATTGGTAAAGAAAACACATAATTGTTTCGAAGAAAAAAATATGTAATTTGCAATTAATAATTCCATATTTTTTCTTAAAAACAACTGTGTTTTCTTTACACCAATTGATTTCTCTCATTATTTTGTACATAAAAATATTAAAATAAGATAATCGAAAAATGAATATTTTACAAGATATTTTATGATTGATGTAAAATGAAGAACTGGTTTCAAGTCTCATTCGAAAAGTACTTGATGAAAAAATGTTTATTTATAGTGTTTTAGAAAGATCTCGAGAAAAGCTACAAAAACATGCAAAAATATATAGGGTGTTCCATTTAAGAAATTCAAAATGATCTTTACGTAACCTTCATGTGACTCTTTAAGGTCAAACTAATGGCACTATCTTATGTCCCCCTAGAAACCATACAACTTTTCTCTGAAACATTTTTTCGATTTTTCGTTATTTTCCGAAATATTTGCCTGGGGAAATTAAAATGAAACACCCTGCATATTGGATGACTAAATAAATCTGCATAAATATATCTTTTAATTTACTTAGGTCTATGTGCTGTACGTCCGTTATTGATTACATCGGCATGTGTGCCACAACAAGGATGAAACATTAGTCTGTCGGGTAATTCCTCTTCTCCAACTTCTGCAGAATTCATTATATTTTAAATATCTACGTTAACAGCATTTTCTATTTCTATAGAAACTTGAAGAACTTGAGATGCGCATATTATTACCTTCACTTTCCAGACCCTGTAGCTGCAATGTGTTTCTCCTTGTAACTAGATTTTGCTCTTCCCTTTCGTCACGATCGACAATGGTTACTTTTACGGTCATTCCATAAAGATCTATTACACCCCATACACCTGTTGGTATTTTAGCAGCGATACCTTGGTCCAGACCATTTATTAAATAATGAAGGTCTCCATTACTCTGCCTAATCATTCCCACACGGTCTCCTTCCTAAAAAATGATGCACAATAAATTTGATGCAAGAGGGAAAAAATAAAATAAGAGGTCCAAGATTATAAATCTAGTCTTATCTTACTCTCAATTCATCCAAATTGAACTCTCCGTATTCCCGTTGTGTGCCTTTGCCGTTCGTTAAAATACCACAGCCAGACATCATAGTCGTGCCAGAACGCATATTGGTCATTGTTGCTGGAAATTCTAGCGCTGTAGGACTATGAGTTGTAACACCAACTTCTATGCTTCCTGACCATTTGTAAACTAGCCTATCTATTCGTATCTACAAATTTTGTAAATTATAAAGTAAATAAAAAATAATAAAATAATTCTGATATAAAATAATTGCAAAAATTGCAAGAAAAAAATCAAAAGTTACATGCTGTTGCAATTTACATAAATGCTCCTGTATAATTTTACATGTATCTCTAGATACTTACTTCGAATAGTTCATTATCTCGTAACGGCCTATGTGTCATCACGACACCATTATTAAATTCATCGAGCGGTCTCCGCCTCTCGGCAGTCCTGGCATTATTGGACAGCTTTACCAGCGTTCCGACTCTTTCGTGAAACTTCAATCTGTCTTCCCTTATTGCGGCAGGAGTGGGATTTTTCGGTAAATTAACATTTACATTGACATTTAAATTAACATTTAAGTTAGCGACTAGATTTGTTGTCGAGGAACTAGAGGTTTCCCCCATAACATAATCGTTATTAATCTCAACTTCATCTTTCGGCATATTAGATAAAGTGACAAGTCTGGGATGAGTTATATTGACTTGTACACAATCGCCATACATATCTACAACAGCAAAAATATGCTCCGGAATGTTGCTCACAGCAACGCCTTGCGAAACACCATTGACGTAAAATACCAGCTCGTGCTAGAATTGCAAACAGAAAACTATCATTAATTACTCTCCGCGATATAAATAATGATAAATCAGACTAGCGAATTATAAATTACATTAGATGTTCGCATCACTCCTACAGTATTTCCCTCCTCCAGATCATTAAGATCCGTTCCATACACATCGACAATTCGATCTCCATCGTGAACTATGCCACAACCAGTCATAATCCAAGATCCATGGCGAAGATTTATGGCACAGGATGGAATTTCCAATGTCTCCGGATCGCATTCTGTCACTCCAATTTCTATACTGCCACTCCATGATATCATCTGTACAATTTTCAAAATGAGTATATACAATATCAGTTTGTACAAGATCAATAAATAGGTAAATATATATCAATAAATAGATAAATAATATATAATAAATAATAAATAAATAATAAATAATATATAATAAATAGGTAAATAATAATAGGAAATAAACAAATGCGTAAAATGCACAATTATCAACATTTTCATAAAATACACATCGCTATCTGCCTTCGAATAAATCAACCGAAACATTTCAATCGAGCACTCGATGAGAAAAATAACACACGTGTACCAGACCCTACGTCGCACAATTATTCCCACGATAAGATTACCGCAGAGATGATGCACTGTTGTGTTTTACAGGGACCCACACATGGACGTCTCGGGAAAAATATGACGCGCGCGCGCGCGTGTATACCTTCTTGTCGATGGTGACTTCGAACAGCTCGTCATCCTGGAGCGGCTCGGCGCTGAACACCAGACCATAATTGTACTCGGAGAAATTGCGCGTGGCGGTGCAATTGTTGTTGCTGAGGGTGACACGGTGGCCGCATCGCCGGTGGAACATGTCGGACCCCAAGCCTCGCCTCACCTCACCGTGTCAGTCGCGTCGCGCCGTCGTGGACCCCGCAGTCGGCCGACGAACGTATCAGCGCGCGCGCGCGAGCGCGCGCGCGCACCGCGTCGTCGCGACGCATCGTCGCTGCCTTGCCCTTCTCGCCCTCCAGGCGCTCCGTCCATCGCTCGACTCGGTGGTTAAATTCCTGCGGTCGATCTAAATACGAACGAATAGTGGAGAATTGCGTGTAAAGGAGCGAGGGGATGTCGGGATGATTTGATTGGCGAACTAAACTAAATGCGACAGGAGAGAGGGAAAGAGAAAATAAATATACAGGGTGTCACTTAATTGGCGCCCACTATATATATATATAGCGATGTTCCTCGTGGAAAACTGAGTCGAAAAATTCTGAACTATTTTTTTCTATAATGAAAAAAATTTGAAACCATTTTTTTTTAACCATTTTTTTCTTCTATAATGCGAAAAATTTTATTTTACATTAATTCCCGCGGTCGATCTAAATACGAACGAATAGGGAAGAATTGCGTGTAAAGGAGCGAGGCCGGGAGTCGAGATGGTTTGATTGGCGAACTAAACTAAATGCGATAGGAGAGAGGTAAAGAAAAAAGAAATATACAGGGTGTCACTTAATTGGCGCTCACTATTTATACAGCGATATTTCTCATGGAAAATTGAGTCGAAAAGTCCTGAACCACTTTTTTCTATAATGAAAAAAATTTGAAACCATTTTTTTCTTCTATAATGCGAAAAATTTTATTTTGCATTAATTCCTGCGGTCGATCTAAATACGAACGAATAGAGGAGAATTGCGTGTATAGGAGCAAGGCCGAGAGTCGGGATGGTTTGATTGGCGAACTAAACTAAATGCGACAGCAGAGAGGGAAAGAGAAAAGAAATATACAGGGTGTCACTTAATTGGCGCCCACTATTTATATATAGCAATATTCCTCATGGAAAACTGAGTTGAAAAGTCCTGAATCATTTTTTTCTATAATGAAAAAAATTTGAAACCATTTTTTTGAAACCATTTTTTTTTTAAATCATTTTTTTCTTCTATAATGCGAAAAACTTTATTTTATATTAAAACTCATTTCTTTCGTTAAAAGCGTTTTCTTAAGGAAAATTTCATCGAGGAGGCTAAAGGTCGGTGCTTATTGGCGCAACTTTGCTCAATAATTACCGCTTTATTAAGCATTTAAGAAAAAAATGGTTCAGGACTTTGACTCAGTTTTCCATGAGGAATATCGCTATATAAATAGTGGACGCCAATGAAATGACACCCTGTATATATAAATTGTAATGCGTTCATATTAATACATAACTGTTTAACTCTTTTTTTTATTATTTATTTCCCTTCCTATATGCGAAATGTCGACCGAAAGATAAAAGCAATCTGGATAAGAAAGCTGTCTAATTGTTTATATAAAACATACTATCTTAAATTGAATCAATGAAAATTTTTATTAATTAAAAATGTAACACAATGTATCATTTAAGTAAGCATTGTGTCTTTTTATAACATTTTTTGCAAATTATTTATATAGAACAATAAATGTGTTTTTAAAATCTGCAAATAATTTTTTAGAAGATATAGTTAAAATGTTTTAAATATATTTTTTTCTAAGTGCAAATCGAAATTATCAATGAGTTAATGTACGTTAATTACAACAATATTTTGTAGTTGAAAAACAAAAGAATATATATATATATATATATATATATATATATATATATCTAAACATTTATACAGATGACATTGATTGTTTAATTGTAATATATGAATAATATATAAAGTACACCTTTAATAAATCGAGTTTTCTATTGAATATAAGGATCAAGAATCTATGATTATTGGCTGTCGATTGAACCGCGTGGAGTATTTAGCTCAACAGTCCTCGCGGATTATTTAAGTCAGGAAAAATTCGGGATGCTACCGATATATAGAACATCTGACGCGAATATTAATCGTTTCGCAAAGGCCAAACACAAATTAAATGCAAATACATTCAATTTTAATATTTTTATAAATCTATTTTCTAATAAAATTAAGTATCTAAATTGATTGATTGTAAAATTATTACGCGCAATCAATTTTTTTGCCTTTTAAACAGATATTTAATATTGTAAATTATTATCCTACATTATCTTGAACATAAACTTTTAATAAAAATTCAGTCTATTAAAAAATATCTATTCTTATATATAAAGTATATAATAATTACATTACTGTGAAATATTTTATAAAATATTGAACTATCTTGAAATATCAATTAATACGAAAAATATTTTATTATATTATTTGGAATATTTTAAAATAAAAACTGAAATATTTTTTATATATGCGTTATATGTTAGATGATAATTAAGAATAAATGAAAAGGTGAAAAGGCAACAGGCAATATGTCTAAAAATAACATGAATGATAAATAATTTATAAATGACTTACATTTTATATTTCGTTGCTCCGTATGTGTTGTTCGATGCTTTTCCTCCTTTTCTCTCTTTTTCGTCCTTTGCTATTTCTTCGTAGCATTCACTTCCGAAAATACGAATAATAATAATTAATTATACATATATGGAACAATCGCGAGACACTTTGCACGACACTCCCGATCGCGGAATAATTACATGAGAAACGCATTTTTTAACATATTGTAAGAAATAGAAGACACGAGAGAAGTACTATTTTCGTTCGATATTTATATAAAGTTTCAAATTCATGCACTACTCATTACAAATGCTCCGTTTTATTAATATTATATTAACACGAATTATAAAATTGAAAGATTGATCTAATTGAAAATCATGATAATCGATTCAATTAATAATAAATTCGATAATATACGAAGAGTATCGTTTCGCACCACTACCTTGCTCGAGTGTCGTAGTGTGAATGATATCAAGACCGCGGAATGTAAACATTAGCGCGCTTTGTATACGCCGTCAAGGCTAAACATTGTATTATCATCTGTTCGAAATATTTTACGTATTTTGACAAATATATACGCGAAATATTTTAAAGTATAGAAATTTAGATTTTAAATGATATAGATTAATTACATAATTATTTATCGAAGGAGTACTTTCATTATGTTAAATATATATTTATATTTACAATTCGATCGTTTTACTGAACGATCTCAATCTGAATTACATTTAAATAATCGAAAACTAGATAAAGAGTCACGAATGATTTATATTTGACCATGATCGGATTTAGTGGGGGGAAACAGGGATTGAATCTCAGAGGCTTCCACAAGAAGGGGCCCAGGTAGAACATGAAACTCATAATGACATTATTATGACGTCATCATAATTTTATTTATCACTTAAAAGTTACTTAAACAAAAACGATTAAAAAATGAGTTAAAAATGACAAAAAGAATCATAAATTTTTAAGTTCAATAATCTCATTATATAATTTTAAAAAGATTATGTTGCTTAAATATAATTAAAATATACATAAATAATTAAATAAACAAGTAATTGCGTAATATATATAAAAAATGATATTAATAAGTCACCAAAACATTGCCAAAAATATATCAAATGAGATCATTATGATTTTTCTAAAATGACTTTTAGGTGACGTCATAATTACTTGTTTATTTAATTATTCATGTATATTTTAATTATATTTAAGCAACATAATCTTTTTAAAATTATATAATGCGATTATTGAACTTAAAAATTTATGATTCTTTTTGTCATCTTTAACTCATTTTTTAATCATTTTTGTTTAGGTAATTTTTAAGTGATAAATAAAATCATGATGACGTCATAATAATGTCATTATGAGTTTCATGTTCTATTTGGGCTCCTTCTTGTGGAGGCCCCTAGGCTTCAACCCCTGTTGCCCCCCACTAAATCCGATCATGGTCAAATATAAATCATTCGTGACTCTTTATCTAGTTTTCGATTATTTAAATGTAATTCAGATTGAGATCGTTCAGTAAAACGATCGAATTGTAAATATAAATATATATTTAACACAATGAAAGTACTCCTTCGATAAATAATTATGTAATTAATCTATATCATTTAAAATCTAAATTTCTATACTTTAAAATATTTCGCGTATATATTTGTCAAAATACGTAAAATATTTCGAACAGATGATAATACAATGTTTAGCCTTGACGGCGTATACAAAGCGCGCTAATGTTTACATTCCGCGGTCTTGATATCATTCACACTACGACACTCGAGCAAGGTAGTGGTGCGAAACGATACTCTTCGTATATTATCGAATTTATTATTAATTGAATCGATTATCATGATTTTCAATTAGATCAATCTTTCAATTTTATAATTCGTGTTAATATAATATTAATAAAACGGAGCATTTGTAATGAGTAGTGCATGAATTTGAAACTTTATATAAATATCGAACGAAAATAGTACTTCTCTCGTGTCTTCTATTTCTTACAATATGTTAAAAAATGCGTTTCTCATGTAATTATTCCGCGATCGGGAGTGTCGTGCAAAGTGTCTCGCGATTGTTCCATATATGTATAATTAATTATTATTATTCGTATTTTCGGAAGTGAATGTGAGTGCTATGAAGAAATAGCAAAGGACGAAAAAGAGAGAAAAGGAGGAAAAGCATCGAACAACACATACGGAGCAACGAAATATAAAATGTAAGTCATTTATAAATTATTTATCATTCATGTTATTTTTAGACATATTGCCTGTTGCTTTTTCACCTTTTCATTTATTCTTAATTATCATCTAACATATAACGCATATATAAAAAATATTTCAGTTTTTATTTTAAAATATTCCAAATAATATAATAAAATATTTTTCGTATTAATTGATATTTCAAGATAGTTCAATATTTTATAAAATATTTCACAGTAATGTAATTATTATATACTTCATATATAATAGATAAGAATAGATATTTTTAAATAGACTGAATTTTTATTAAAAGTTTATATTCAAGATAATGCAGGATAATTATAATTATATATAATTTACAA